GTACATACTACTGTAGTACTTTGTAGCAACTGATTAATTACTACAAAATAAATTTACATTTTGCACAGTACTGTACATACCTAATGTGTCAGTTGATGCACATAGCATTCAGTCAGTTGTTTTGCTATTCTAAATAATTTTTTTGTAGCCAAGTTTTGCATTCACCTGACTGTGAGCAGCAGAATATTGACACATTGGATTCAACCCATTTATGTTAACGCAGCGTCAAGAAACACGAATTCTCACCAGCTGATAATCCATCATTTGGTTCTGCAACATTGTCATCTTCCTGGATAAGTTTCTTCTCTCAGACTTTAAATGATTTCATCATTAGGGTCCAGAGGACTAAAGAATCACAAGCAAACTACAAGCCTGCAACCTCTCACTTCTCATTCTTCCTGTTGCTTTTCAGGCTTTTTATTCTTCTCCTCATCTTTTTGTACCCCTTCCTTAGTGGATATGCCTTTTAAATTGTTCCATCTCTTTTTAATGTGATTCACCAAATTGATTTTAATGTGTCTTCACCAATTCCATACTTCCACCGCCATGTAAAATCTTTTTGAATGAAGTTTTGGTGAGGAGCTACAATATCTTCATTTTCACCGTTTATCAAAAGCTTCCTCAACAGTTGTCTTCTGTAAGGTCATTTCATAATTTTCCTAACCATGGGCAACAGCAAACTCATCACAATTGGTGGAACGAAGTGTTTTGAAACATCCATCATCTCTATCAAGAAGATCCTATGGGATGGGTGGGTGCATCATCCATAATTAACGTCACTTTACTGCCTTCATTCTCTACAGCCTTTAGGTTGCTGTTGTTTTGTTTTTTTCTTGTTCTTTTACTTCAGGTATGAAAATTGAATAGTACCATTCAGAAAACAATGTACGATAAAAAAATTATTTTTCCTCAAATCAATCCAGATAGATTGGCAATCTGGATAACTGGAGTTTGAATATATGGAGTTCTACTGTACATATCTTCTGAAATAAAATTAATAAAAAATAGATAATTTGAGCATTCACTTACAAAACAGTATGTTGGTTTCAAGAGGATGGAATAACAAACTGCTGACAAAATTTTTCCAGCCTCTAGACAACATATGCTTATAAAACATCACGTTTTTTCCAGGATGCAATAAGTGTATGTATCGTGATGCACCTGCCACTGCCAATATGTTTTCTTCAGATTTCAAGTTGGATATAGTAGTCCAACTCAAAGTAAAAAAATTGTCTCTATAAAAAAAAACATTAAACAGCACCTATTTTATAAGCAACAATAATTGTTTCCTATTTAATGTAACGCACATACAAAAAGAAAATAATATAATACTATTGACAAAATAGATTATTTTATAAAACTCTCAATTTTACCTTCACTCGCACACAAAGTTATTTAGCCTAAAGAAAATAATTTTTAATTTTATTTTTAGTTAGTATTAAATTAGATCACAAGAAATCCACAAGTCATATGGGTAAAACATTTAATCTTTACATCACAGTCAATCTAATAGTTCTTTTTTATTTTGTCCTTTAGAGCATAGAATTTGGAAGCCAAAAAATCAATGTAATGACAGAACAAGAAAGATAGTTTTCTTTTAAAAGAAAATCCAAGTAGTATCACACTATGTCCCTCACTAGCTGAGCTACATATTTTTTTTAAAAATTGCGACACTTAAATGTATAACATAGTTCGCTACAAATTACTATACTACAAATGTTTATAGATATTAATATATATTTTGTCTTGTTTAAAAATTATTATGCCACCTTAACATGGTAATTAGATAAAAAAGGAACTGTACTTTTTATCTGAATAATATTTGCCTTCAACCTCTCCACTCTCAACGTTGATGAAGCACACACTATTGCCACCACAAGTAGCAACTGTGTCTGAATTATTTGGTTCAAACACACAATGCCACACCTACAAAAAACAAAAGTTGGACATTATTACAAGTAAGGTAAGACAAAAATGAGACAATTTTCAAAACTGACCTGTGTCTTAACATCTGCATCGTCATTGTTGCTAGAATGACACCGAAGAAAATGTATAGGATCAAAGTCAAACGCTGCTTCTACTCTCGTGCAGAGATCTATTTTGCGTCGTTTATTATCTTCTTCTGTTTCATCGTATACTAACTTCCTTTTCATTTTCAGAATTTACGTAGCAAGAGTAAATAAATTTGTAGAAATCAAAAATTGCGGATGTCCTCTCTTAATTTTTTAGTTAATTGACTTTGAAAATGTTCACAATACTTCTCAAAGAAACATTACTCTTAAAATCACTTGTCCACACGGATCACTTGACAGTATCACAAGTCACCAGACTTCACCTGAGTGAGAGACGTGCCAACTACTACGGGATTTGGGAAATATGACCTTTTATGCTTTTCGACTCGAAAATCCCGAGCAACACGAACGAAAAACGTGGGAATTGTGCGGCGAAATCGTCCACAATCGTAGGCGCGCGTTCCAGACGTGTTCAGTGCTGCCAACAATGTGTTGTTACCTCTTTTAAACTCTTTGGTTAGCTAAATTTAATACATTATCAACCTTACCAACTACCACAGAAGTTTTGCCAATACCTACATAAATGGTTTTGTTATTTGGAATTGTTCTTATCCCATTTCTTCACCCTTTTATAGTGTTTAATTTATGTGGAATTGTTTCGAGGTAAAAAAAAGTTATTTTTATGTCGTCACAGTTGTCAGATCAGATATCGACGGAGATTACAAGAAGTCGTATCAGGCGCTTAAACAATATCATATGATTTACGAAAGATACCTAACCTGTGTGGTGTTATACAACCACTAGTTAATAACATTTTAAATTACGAAGCCTGCCGTGGCCTGCAGTGAGCGGGAAAGTTTACGTTTGTGTGTCAAAAGCGAAGGACTGTTGAGTTTTAATTTGTGGAGCTGATAGTAATTATGTCAAGAAATGCGAAGGCGGCGACAACCAAAGCCGCTGCTAAACCAGCTGCGAAACGCAAAGGAGGTAAATATCAAATGCCCGATCCGCTACCGAACGGCGAAATTCTAACTGACCTCTGCAAGAAACAGTGGAAACTTGGACCTTCAATTGGCAAAGGTGGTTTTGGTGAAATATATTCTGCGACAGAAGTTGCATCACAAGGGAAAAATTCGTACGTCATTAAAATTGAACCTAAAGAAAATGGCCCACTTTTCGTAGAAATGCACTTTTTTATGAAAGTATGCAAAGCTGATGATATTGACAAGTGGATGTCAAGTAATAAGATAAAATTTCTTGGCCTTCCACGGTTTGTTGGCAATGGTTCACATCAGCACAATGGAAAACCATACAGGTTTGTAGTTATGGAGAAATTTGGTAAGAACTTGGATTCTGTTTTGAAAGAAAATAACAATGTACTTGACAAAGAGTTTATATTCAAGATAGCGTTACAAGTTCTTGATGCATTAGAGTACATTCATAGTAGAGGTTATGTTCATGCAGATGTTAAGGGTGGAAACCTCTTATTAGGATTAAAAAAAGGATCAGAAGATAAAATATACCTTGTTGATTTTGGTTTGGCTTCGAAGTATTCTAGTGAATATAAGCCAGACCCCAAATGTGCTCATAATGGAACCATTGAATTCACCAGCAGAGATGCTCATGTAGGGGCAACAACTCGTCGAGGTGACTTGGAAATTCTAGGATACAATATGCTCAGATGGTTTACTGGACGTCTTCCTTGGGAGGACAAATTGACTGATTGTGTATATGTGCAACAAGAGAAACTGAAGTTCATGAATGATATACCAGGACAAATACAAAAATGTTTTGGTTCACAACCTGTTCCTGAAGCTCTTACAAAATATTTTCAGTATGTGGCACTAATGGCACCAACGGCATCTCCAGACTATGATTTATGCCGCAGTATATTCCAAGAAGGATTGAAAGCAGGAAGAAAACCTCAAATTACATCTCCCAAAGGAGATCACAAACCAGCCAAAAATTCTGTTTCAAAGAAAACTAAAAACGAAAACAAATTAGAGACTACAGATATTCAGACGGTAGAAAGAAAGAGGAGGAGCCCTGTCAAAGCTGTCAATAATGAAAAGAAACATGTCACTGAGGATTCAAAACCAACAAGACCCATGAGAGCTGCAAGAAATCATGTTGCAAATGGTTATGTACCTGAAAGTGATTCGTTTTCAGATGACTCTGATTTTCTTCCAGAAGCATCACCAAAACAAAAACAAACTGTCAAAAGACGTAGTAATGATAAAAACAAGGGCTCCCCAAAGAAGAAAAGGCAATAAAAATCTGTTTCCAAAACCTAAATCTTTGTGCCTTAGAAATTGTGTATGTATATGTGAGTGCTTGTAAACATGTAACTTACTCAATGAAGCTGAATGTTATGTACTGGAAGTGTATTGAGTGAATCAGCATTTTAAAGTACTTTTAACACAGTATTATGGTTTTAGATTGTTTAGAATTTTAATTTTTATATTCATTGTTCTTGAATGTTGAAGATGGTAACAAACAATTTGTTTCATTCATTACAGTAGTTCAGTACTGGAATTAGAAAACTGTTCAAATGCCTAAAACAACCAAATGAATTGTGTGTGCAAGGAATATAGTTTATAAAAGTTATAAATGTGCATAAGGATGAACATGTTTAGTGGTAAATATTTGTTCTTTTTACTCTTGTACTTTAATGCAAACTTATCACACATTTTTGTTCTTGTGCTGACAATTTGAGGGAAAATATTGGATACTTAATTTTTTATTGTCGTATTATGCTCAGGTAAAACTGGAGAAAATTTGAATTGAATAATATTGTTGAATTGTTAAGATATGACGTTTTGACTTGTATTTTGTACAACATATAACTTCTTTTTCTAATAAATTGGCTGCAAATATTCGTATTGTATTTAAAAAATTCCCCCTTGTATACAGTAAAGGTTTTTCAAATATCCTGCACGTAGTGCTCTGGAAAAGTGAAAAAGCATGGGAAATTAAGAGCCAATTTGGAGAATTAAGCATTCCCTGGTGAATTGTGAAGTAAAGAAATCTGCCTTTTGGATAGTAATTTCCTTGTAAATCAATTGTGCTACAAGCTGCAGTGCAAACTTAAACCAGTAGAATGAAAGAGGCATTAGTAGAAACTTTTGCTTTTGGACCACAATTTTCATGTTTTCCTTAATGCATTAAAAAGCAAGTGTACCACTTGTATTATTCAAATGTATATGAAAAATCTCATACTTGTCTCTTTCTTTAACAAGTTTACCACTTACAAATCGCAAGATGAATTGTTTTATTCTTTTCCATTGCATCTGCTACTAATTATGAACCAAAGAAATATTTCTAATTGTAAATGAAAGTCTTGTATGATAAAAAGGTAAAAATTAGCTTTATTTCATGTGGCTGTGTCCATTTGACAATTCGATAAGGCTGAAAATGAACTTAGATTTAAAATTATATAATGTAGGGGGGGAAATGCACTTCTACATGAAAAAATCTATCTGCAATTGAAGATATTTACACTAGTAAATAAGGTTTCTAATTCAAATATCAAAAAGGAAAGTTAATTTACAACAATTACATAAGAGGATACATGAAGAGGAGGTCTATACATGAAGTAAATTTCCTGCAATGCAAATGTATTCCCAAACATTAGGAAAGAACCTGAAACGTTTTGGACAATAAGTGTGAAGGCCAGTATTATTTACTGTCAATTTCAACTGCAATGAAAATTGTTCAAATGTGCATTTTTGTAGAAATGCACTTTTTTATGAGAGTAAGAAATTTAGCACAATTCAACATATTATTATTTTAATAAAATAAAACTATGATATTCTAATAGATTAATTTGTTTACTTCAGAAAAGATATATACAAGAAAATAAGTAGGGAGTTTTATTTTACCATAAGAAATAAATCTGGTGACATCCTCTATTTCCTTCTGACAACAAACCAAGGAAGACTTTCCAGTTAAGGCTTAAACTGACCATGAATCCTGATTCTTGAAAGTTAACAATGTTAAGTTGTTTCTGACCTAAATTTAAAAATAGACACTTCTGTACCTTATTTAACAATTCATTTCATTAACATTTTGATACTTAGAGGATCTTCAAAATATTTCATCTTGATCCAGAATTGTAGAACTTTACTAGAAGTTAAAAACTATTCAATTACACTTCATTGAAATATTATCTGCAATATGTTTAAAAACAATATGGTCATAGTTGTCTGAAGCATCATGTTCTAACATGAATTGTAAAAAGAGTATATAAAGCCTGTTTTTAAAATAAAGGCAGAAACAATTAAAATTGAGAACTGTGTAACAGATGTCTACATATTCCTTTAAATAAAGAAAGAATTATTGCTGCACATTGCACACATTTTTATTTGTCATCCCATGCTAGAAAATACAGTAACAACAACAAAAATTGTCAGGAATGCAATTACATTCTACCAATATAGTTTTACGGTTGACATTCAAAGAATATTTGAATAGCTTTGTCACTATTTAATGTGGTTCTTATTTTATTACATTATCATGAAAAATAGTTCCTTAAATCTCTTTGAATTGCTTTAACTTTCCCAAAAAGGTTCACAAAAGTTATATGTGGAAATGAACTTGGTAGCAGTAGCATTGTCACGGCAAAGAACGTGTCTGAAACATGTAACCTCATTCCTGGATATTTTTACATAAAATCTTCACATGTAAACACTTATCACAGTCCAGAGAATTCATCTCAGAAGTATTGGATTATCATTATTATTATTATTATTATTATTATTATTATTAATAATCAACATCCATTCATATAACTTGTGTTATTCTAAGCATGCAAGACCGGTCATTCACCATTCTTTCGATTTTATTTGCAACAAATACAAGTCAAAAAGAAAATTGCTTTAAAAAATTGCAACAAATAGTTCAACATACATAACATTATGTCACGAATATGCAGAACTTTTTTCAAATACAACAATTATTTGGGGAACCTTCAAACCAGTTCAAGAACAAATACATAAGTAAATCACAGAACCTATAACAGAATGCAATCATTTCAACAAGACATTTGTTGTATGGTATATAAAGAATCATCATGCAAATGGTCTATTTACATATTCACAGAATAACATAATATCTTTATAAAATATCGTGTATTCTCTAGCTTAGAACAGAAGTAACTGAAGTTCTACTTGAACAAAAAGCAAATTTATTTTCTTCTCTTCCTTTAAAACTACATACAGTGAAACCTGAATTCAGCAACCACTGTTTGTGCATTAAGATGTGGTCTTTTAGGTAGGTGGTTACTTATAGGGGGAGTCAATCTACTAAACCTTGGAGGTTTAGGAAAGTGTCAATTTTATTCTCATGAACATGTTTCAGTGTCTTTGGTACAGTAATTGTATGAATTACGAAATATGGAGCATTGATGATTATTTTTTTGTTGTGTACCCATTTTGTTGAGTTTCAGGAGCCCTGAAACTCACCTTCAGGCACCTGTTTAATCGAATAAAAAAAAAACAATCACACAGTGAGAGTTGGGCGAGTGCTGGGCACAGTTTCCAGATGCAATCCCAGTGGGGCACTTAACTGCCATGATTTGTAAAACTGATATTTTACTGAACTAGAGGTTCTTCCAAGAGAGTTTTGCCTAAGTTAAGGAATACTTTGTTGATTCAAAGAATTGAACATTAAATAACTTTCATACCTGCCAATACATTAGAAGAAAAGAAACCAAACTGGAGTGAGCAGCCATGGTACCACACCAGTGGTCACGGCATATTGTTACATAATTCCCGGAATCCCCTTGCTGCTATTTCCTCAAGGATTGAAGCTCAGGCACAGGGAATGTAACGCAAGAACTGTTTACAACTCAATTTTCAATTTGACTGCCAAAAATTCTGTGTAAATTCGGTCATATAATTATCCTGAAAGTGGTCTCTTAAAAGGGTAAATTACAAAAATTGCTACAAAGAGGATGGTTGGTAGTCGGAAAGAGGAGTGGTCTGTTAACATGATTTACATACAACATATGGGTATCAGTGTTCGTTCCAAGAAAAATCAGTCGAGAGGGTTGGTCTTTCAGAGAGGTTGCACTGTATATTCTCACTCACAAAACTTCTAGGATCTTTAAATTAAAATTATTCTCAGAATGATGATCACTGCGTGATAGACATTAAACAAATTTCTTCAACCAGTTCTGTTCCTTGCAAAATAACATGAGGGTATTGCTACAATGAACACAGTAAAAATACTTGCAGCATTTTCTCCTGACTATTGAATATGTTTGAAACAACCTTTTACTGCCAATATTCACATTTGCACAGTAGTAAAATGTGTAGCATGAAATCTTTCAAAGAGCTGCAAAAGTAAAGATGAGCATAAAACAGTACATCTTTTTTATATGACTGTTACAACAAAAACATGTGTCATAATCTTTAAACATCCACGTCACAAGATGTTATTTGAGCCCAGGACTCAGCTTTATTATGCTTTTCACTTTCAATTGAATAAAACAAATCGGTCAAAAGATGAAAATATAATACTTGGAACTAATTCAGAAATACAACAATGTAAATACAACAGTTAAGAAGCAACAGAATTTTTTACCTTGACTATTCAACTTGTATGTTCAGAGCAGAACAGAAAAGATGAAGCTTCAGATTAATTATGGGGGGAAAAAACAGAATATAAGGCCTGAAGGAGTTTGCAGAGATATTTGTACTGATGAAATTCCTATGACAGGAATATTAACACCTTCATTAACAAGCAAAATTGAGGGTGAATGTAGGATGTGAAATGTAGGATGAAGGTGCAAACTAATTAATTCACTGTGTTAATTTAGAAAGAATTCTAATGTCCAATAGTGAAGGATGATTTCAAATAAAACACCAAAAGACAAGGATCAACAGCAATGCTTAAAAATAAACCAAGAAATCTTAGAAAAACAAAATTCAGATAATTACAAGAACTTTATAGATCTATATTATTGCATTTCAATGCAAAATCTTGTCTAAGGATAAAAAAAGTTAACAACAAAATGAGCTCACGGAAAAAGAAATCTCAGGCACATGTAAATAAATAGTTTACAGTAGTAATGGAAGTGAAATACGAAGGTTGGAAAACAATGAAGGATCCTGACATAAACAATCACATAAAAAGTTAAACAAAATTTAATAAAGAATTGTTAACCTTCATCTAGCTCTGAACTGAGACTTAACATCAAGAAAAAGCAAATTCAAAAACTGATGTAGGCAGCATTTTAGAAAAAAGAAAGGAGGTAAAAAGCATAAAACATGAGATAAGGAATGCCTTGGGTTTTTAAAAAGATGATTTTGAAGATTCAAAAACATTTCAAATCAAAACTGAGTTGCCTTCAAAACTTTTTCTTCAAATTACATCAAACCAGCGGTATTATTCATTCTTGTTCATCTTGCACATGCAAGACAACAATTCCAAAGAGCTCAATCAATTTTTAACATGACAAGAGAGCAGTAAAGTTTGTTTTTTTTCCTTACATTCAACTTCATTACTTAAACATCATTAAATTAATATTTTTATTATTGGACTCTTGTTTAACTCGGAGAAAGTGGTCTGTGAGTGGTTGGTACTGAGATTCTTCCTTGTTGAAGTGTTTCTTGCACATCAATTTATTCTAATGGTATCTAAACAACTAATCTAAAAAGGGATTTCATTTCAAAAACAGAGCATCAAATCCAGGCAAGGAATAACACAACAACAAACACATATCTTAATCAGTGTTCTTAATATCACCTGCATTCATAATTCCTTCATCAAGTCTAGGCCTTCTCATTATCTGAAACAAAGCATAACTTCCCACTCTGATTGACTATTAGTGCAACTTTTATGAAACATTTAACTAAAAATAGAGGTATTTTCAGGTTCAGTAGTGGCCTTATTATTTAAGTCCACAACTGCCCAACCATGCACTTACCATGCAAAGGAGGTGAAAAGGGCTTACAATGAAACCTACCATTCAATATTGTCTTTAGCTCCCATCAGTACATGCTCTGATGTACACTAAAAATATCAGTATACTACTGCTCACATGTGTTTCAGCTGAACACCCAGTGTTACAAAACTATTCACTAGGTGCATTACTATTCACACTGAGCTGAAATTACATTCTTACATAACGCTCATCATAAAATGAGCATCTTTCTACAACCCTTTATTGAAGTAGACAAAGTCAGGAACTTTTCCTTGAGTGTTCTTCTTTAAAATGTCATATTCTTCAGGCTCTAACCAAGCGATTGTTTTAACACTTATTTTACTGGAAAGAAATAATCAAAATATTAATGACAATAACAAATATCAATATTAATTTTTATAATCCACTTACTTTACTAAAATAGAGTACTAAAGTTTGCAATAGTAATTTATAAAATTAGAGAGTAAAGCAAGAGGACATGTTTACACCCGAAAGTAATGACAAGAGCCAAGGGGGAATAAAATTGATTTACCCTCTACAACAATATATTATTTTATCTATTACCACTATATAAATGACAGTATGTAAGTTGAAAAGAAACTCCTAAATGCTGTAGGTACATTCTTATTAAAATGGATCTCCTCTTTCATACTTGCAAGTAAATAGGGCCCTATTGTTGCCAAGGAGACAAACAAATTAATATATTTCTATGTGTACATGTCATATTGCACACCTTTAGATAGAATAACTGTAAAATTGTTAAAAATTATGCTGGTGAATAAAACCATTTATATTTGTTTTCAAGAGCCATAAAATAAATGATAACTTATTTTGTGGGGTAATGAATAAAAAGAATACCTTAACAAAAGCTACATTAATACTGGAAACTTATTCCTAAAATTGCCTAGCCTGATATACCGTGCAATCAGCAAATTTTTGATATTCCATGCAAATACTGAAAACTGAACATCCATAAAATACTTAATATTGTTTGAGAGGACAGGTGATGAAAGGGTTACTTCGGATTTGAACTCTTGCTCCCCTAAGACGCACTTCAGACCACCGCACAATATTTCTATGAATAAAAATATATTGAACTTTACAAAAACCAAATCCTAAAAAGTTGTGTTTATAATCAGAGTTGATCTGCACAAAATGAACCGTAGTTTTCAGGCTGGGACCTGATTGACAATATCTGCTGCCCTGATCATGAAATAATGGAATTGAAGATGAGCAGCATTCATTCAAATGGGAACAAGGAATAATCAACAGAAGCTTAGAAAAAAAAAATTACAAGCAATATATAGAAATGAGAGATCCTCAAGACCCAATTATAACTTGAAATAATTCAAGACCACATTCTCAAGCACAAATCGGTAAATAAAATTAGAACCCAATTGCTTGACTTATACCCGTTTTTGGTAAAACATAAAGGGAATGATATGGAGAGAAAAAATAAGTAAATATTGTTATTTTCATTTCCTGAATATTATCACCCCAATATTAACTTCCATTATATTTGCATTGATTAGTGACTTTTCCTCAAAACAGAATAAATCAATGAAATTATAAATTGTGAATTTGTTAAATAATAAATCTTTGAAATGGTTTAGCAAAAAGTGCATCCTTTTCTAGCTTTTAAAAATAATACACTTTCTAGGAGTACATCTGATTTATGAGGCATGCTTTCTAAAATCATGCAATAAACTTATCAGACACAGGGCAAAAAGCTTTTAGGTCAAACTTCAAAATCAATTATTCTTTTCAAACTTTGTTGATTGTTCGTAACTTTATTCGATTGTTCAATTGGTGAAATTTTCTTTTATGAGTGATTTGTAAATAATATAGTAATCCCAAATACAATGATGTTTTCTGTATTATACTGACTACTTTGTTTATCAATTAATACAATTCAATAATTACATTTTGTTATAGTACTCTGCGTAATAATATTATGTAAAACATTGTAATGATTGAGTTTGAAATACTGAACATTAATTAAAACTAGAATTTTAAATAATTGATAATATAAATAAATGAATGAGAAATACTACTTTACTTACCATCTCTGTGGAAACAGTGCACAAGCAACAGGAACCATGAAAGATGAGGCTGTAATGACCAAAAGTTCATTAAGTTGATTAATGGAAACATGAAATAGAAATGACAAATTGTAACATTAAAACGACTTTCAATTTTAAATACATGGCGAAAGTGTTCAGTTGTATACTTTTATTAACAAGTTCCAGAAAAAACTTGATATTTGGGATTAGGGGAGCATTGATAACAGCACGAATACTAATAAAACTTCATCAACCTGAAATCTAGCAAATTAAATATTGTTAAATAATTGATTCTAGACAGTCATAATTCACTTTGCAGTTTCCTGATTCACCATTTTATTAGAAGAAACATGATTATTTTTCAAACACAAGCAACTTATTTGCTTCCTAACTCATCTTGAAAATACCTAATATCTGAAGAAACAAACAAACATAATCCACTTTTTTACATGAACTTCATTGACATTCAGACTACATTTACAATCCTGGTTAAATATTTCTGAGCATCTCCTCTCACCCTGGGTAAGAGAGGGAAAAAAATTAAATTTTAGTCAAAAATCCTCGTTTAGTCCTAGGAATCCAAATCTAATTTTTCCAACTGCTAGAATTTTTTTTTTTTTTAATAAAAAGGATACCAAAGACAAGAGAAGACATTAAAAGTGAAATGGTAGGTTTCTCAATAATAAGACATACCCCAAAAGTAAAATTAACGTAAATCAGTAAAAAGGTAAGAATGATGTCAGGTAAATTGAATAAGCTGATCTATAAAAAAAAAGAAAAACACTAAGCTTATGGGAAAATTAAAGTTACATAAGAGATAGGTCAAATGGATTAATTCATGAAGTAAAAACTAGCGTTAATTCAAAATGTTTTTACTTATACACTATGCTATTCACAATCTACCTAAAATACATGAAACAACTTATAATGGCTGATCATAAATCATAAAATTGTGATTAGAAAATAATCAAACCAACTAATTACTTACACAAGCAGCCCACCATCATGACTTGGAAAGGGGCATGCCAGAGGTTTATTTGTTGCATCCCATCGAGCTATTCTTTCTAACTCTTTCCAATTATAAACAGGAAGAATCGCTGCAATAATAGAACGCTATATAACAATGTACTTTTTGCCATCAACATGATGTTTACATTAAAAGATAGACTATATTCGTCCTGAAGAGTGGGCCATTTTTGAAGAATAAATATTGATCACTGTGAATAGATCACCCCACAGTAAATATGCATATGAGTACAGTTAGGTTCATCTAAAAAATGTTTGTGTGATCTGTTGTGGGGAGACAGGGGGCATGTCTTCCCATCCCAATTGTTTCAAGATCAAATATTATAATGTGTGCAGAAAAGTTTCATAAGCTCAAAGAACCAGCTCTAAGACTATGCACTACTAGAAAGCTTGTACTTAATTCTGTGCCCTAGTTTCAAAATATACTGCCAAATGTTCGTAATTTAAATGTGAATCTCAGTTCAATGTGGTATTCAATATGAAATGATATACAATATTACATGACACAAATTTAGTAATTTGCAGATAGGTCCCTGCAAACTCTGCTACAAAAATATAACATTACTTTTAATCACATTAATTAATGTGACATTATTAACATTATAATCACTTACTCATGCCTGTGCACCACATGGGACAATCCTGGATATCACAACCTTGGAGAAGATTCCTTTAGCAGCAGCAACCTACAACAAATCCACAAATACTTCAATCAATACTTTTATCTGAAAATTCGCCATATACATAGAGAAGCTCATCGGGAAAACAAATCTAGCATGACAGTTACCGTGTAGATAAAATCAGCTCAACGTGAATGTTTTTAATAATATGAAATGCACATGGTTTATGAATTCAGGCAACTAGAGATAAAATCATAAGTCCCCCACCCGTGATTTTGCCAATGTGTATTTGGTCATTTTCATCCCAAAACATCAATTCCATGAAGAAGCTCATTTTGTCTCATGAGTGGAATGTTCACGCAATGGGCAGCCCAGCACAGCAGCAAAAAAGGAACATATTTCGCTATAAAAAAAAAAAGAATAAACAATTTTTAGAATTCTTTTCTAAGTTTTTGTTTTGTTTCATTTTTGTTTGTTTTAACGCTTTCTCAGTGTCCTAGTTTTGCATAGAAATAAATATTTTCTTATTGACCAATGCCAAAATTCACTTGCCTCTAGAGAGGAAACATTCCATTCAAAATGTCAATTTTTAAAATTCTCTGACCCTCTTCCAAGTTTTTTTGCCACAACGTAGCAAGCATAGATATACTATTAATTCTCTTAACCATATCCACCTGTGGTATCTAGGCATAGCAGCGTTGTCTGTAATATTGTAAAATTTAATAATTCTATATACACAGCAAAACATAAATAAAATTAATAAGAGAAATTTAATATACCAGTAGGTGGCACTGCAACCATTATAGATTGATAAAATACAAAAAAAGTGTAAAATATATATGAATGTGATTGCAATTGAAGAATTAAATTCCATTTTTTCTAGTAATGTGAACAAAATGGCAGATGTTGATATAGTTTTATTGATGTTAAGAACACTGTGATATACATCTAGCGGTAATAAATCAACAACTTACATTCCAATTAATGTGTACTTTGCCCCTCTTTTTCCCAAAAATGCTCCGACAGCCAAGTTGCAGGGCAACATAGGCAGGATGCAGCTAGACTGGATACATAAGCAACACCCATTGAGTTGTTGTTACTGGAGAGTTGGCATTTCTATCTTGCTGATACGTTCAAACCAAAGCATTGAAAATGAATTGGTTCACCCATGCCAAAATATAACAGCTGTTGATGTTCTGGCAAGTGAAGAAGAAAAATCATATGATAATTTCAAAATGCATTACTCAAAAACATCCACCTCTTTTACAATAATAACAGAAACATAATGATTGACTCATAATTAACTGTTTTCTGATACAAAGCAACAAAACATTTAATAAATTACACTCCTCATCTTTCATATTCATCATTCATCATTAGGATGTCAAGAAAATCATGAAATTATACCTATGTATTCACAACATTATTCTATCAAGCAAGAAAATATAATTTGCAATATGCACTGCAGAAATGTTTTAACCAGTTCTTACAAATATTCAACATAGACTGCAGTTTGTAAAAACACATTTTTGCACAATAATGAAGATTAGAAATTCTGCTAGTCATAATTAGAAGTGGACATCTCCAATTATTGGAAATATAAATATTTTTAAAAACTGCAGATTTGATAACTTTTAGTCATTTATGGGCAATTTTTTGACTTATGATTAAGTGTACTGTATATTACAAAGAAAATCAAAAGGGAGTAATGAAGCAAACAATTCTTTTACAAGAGGTCAAATTCAGCATTGCAATTACTCAATGTCCAAAATATAGAAACAATACAAGGCAAAAAATGGACAAATTAAACGCAACCAACAGCTAGTGTTTCAAAACAGTCATATGTGAAAGATAAGAGAACAAGAATTAACATTTCAGTATTCAAGCAACACAATTCAATAAAATATAGTTTATGCAACAAAGTTTTGGATTTTAACATTTCCTAGATCAGGCAATTATACAATGCTCAATAAATGCTACAAAAATGTAAGTGGAACATAAGATATAGGAACCCAAAATGAATTTTGAATAGACAATGAATTTGTTGCAGAAGGAACTTCCAGGAGCATAAAAATACAAGCAGAGAATAGACAAATCATGGTTTTACCAAGTGATCTCTGAGAATAGTACAAGCAAGAGGAAATTAAGAATAGAATCACAAAAAATCAGACTATTTGACTGCCTTAAGAGATATAGAGTTAAAAATGTAACAAGAAGTGGGAAGACGTTCCTCTACTAATGAGAATGTATCAACAAATGTAAATTATGTGAAATATCTCCTTCAAAAACTGGTTTCTATAACTGAAAATAGATTTCAGGAAATGTCTTGACATAAAATTTCTGAAAAGGAAATATGAAGGGCAATTTTGATGATAATCCATTGAAGGAAATAAGAAGGGCTGGAGTGATGTTACATAGGTATTCTAGAAATATTTGGTGCTAAAGGTAAGTTGAAATTAAAGAACAACAAGGAACAGAAACTCCCAACCAGGGTCCACAAATACGGTAATTCCTAAAATTGCCTTGATCTAAGGCAAGATGTACAAATAAAATGCAACTAGGTAAATGGTACTCCAGAAGAATAAAATTAAATTTAATATTACAACAATTGTACAATGATACCTATATATCTTGAATCTGTTGAGTACAAGAAAACATGAAATAATTTTGGCTTATGGGAATCCAAGACTTGGGAAGGGAAATAGTCTCAGCAATCTTCAATCAGAAAGTCAATAGGTGGAAGCATGAAGAGAAATTTAAGAATGGCCTCATGAAGAATATTTCCTCAAAGATCATGAAGGCAAAAAGTACGCGTTACCCAGAACAAATCTAAACATTAATTCTCTTGTACTGGCAGTGTTAACTTATTATTTATCAAAAACAGTTGTTTGCCTTAATGGAACCATGAAACAAATGGTTAAGCCAAGGGTTTCATAACTAAAAGGTTAGAAAAAATTTTGCCTTAAAAAAACATGGTAACAGCAGTCTACTTGGAGAAAAATATGGAAACCAAGATTGTCTTGGAATGTATCATGCTATCAAGGTGATGAAGCCTTGCAAAGCTCTCCAAAACAACTGAAAAAATTTCAAATATGAAACTTAGGATTCAAGAAAGACAGATAGCACAAGCAGGCAGCAAATAAGTATTCTTTCTAGAATGCAGAAATATTTTTTTATGACACTATCAATCTTTTTGAAGAGTAATATTATAACCACACAGACCTATGGTTGCCAGAGGTCCACTATTTGAGCGGACAGTTCACTTTTTTCACATGTTCACTATTTTTTGTAATAAAATAGTGGACACTTATTATATTCAAAAGCTTTATGATGAAATGTTACATAATCTGAAGCTATACAGTCTAAGAGAATATGAATAGGAATTTTGTATCCCCCCCTCTGCTTGACGGCTAATTTTGGAAGCAGACTTAGCAAACCTAATCATACCTGGTAAAACAAGTGTGAAAGTTTGCCTATTTATTTATTTATTTACCTAACAAAAAGGTTAAAAACTGGGTGTGACATGTTATTAGAAGAAGTTAATTTCAAGTTACGTTTATGTCCAGAACCAAAACAAGTGCCATCTCAGCATTTGCTCAAGGATCAGGGAAACTGGACAAAAACCTGATCAAGAGGGGGTCATTGACCCAGAACCTGAAGTACAACACTTGTTACAAGGTCTTTAGAATTATACAATCCGAATGGTAAAAAAAATTCATTAAATGTAATTGTCGAAATTAATATTACTTTCCTTTTGGATGCTCGGTATAGTCACTGATTGTGTAGGAACAGTTGTGCAGCAGAAAAGATTTTACTTGGAATTTAAACTTTTGTATCGAATTTAATCATTTAACGTCGTCTGGCAAGGTGTTGTCAAAATATGTACATGTATTGTATGTGAATTTTTTGTAGTGAGTTGTTGATGCTGTCACCTGATGAATATGATTACTATGTCGAGTGTTGTAGTTATAGACATTCTGAAAATATATTCCCGCCCTTAAGTAAGTGATTTTTGACACAAAACACCGATTCATACATCAAGAGACAAGGTAATGGAAAAATACCTAGATTAATAAAGAGAGGCTTCCAAGAATTAAGAAGAAGCCTCTTAAGAAAAGAACAGTTTTCCTTTACTGCATCTACATAGTAAGTTTGTGTAGTGCTATTTCCAAGTAAATAAAGAATTATGCTGTCAATACCTTACCTTGCCAAAAGTTATAGGTCTTCAGGGTAAGTTCACAAAAAATTAAGTTTCATTAAAATAATAAAATTAATACATTAATATCACCCTGACATGCAAAATTCTGTCCTGAAAAAGAAGCAATGTCATACGAGAATATGAATGCCTATTTTCTTAGAGGAACATTAACTCAAAAAGTCAATGAATTATCATAAATTTCAACAACTAATAAGAGTGATTCCAGAGACTTCCATACGAGAATTCTTAAGCCTGCCCACTTGTATAAAGAGAAACAGTTATGAATATTACTGATGTTAAAATGATATTTCCCAATGAACGAATAACTACTGGTCATTAAGACAAAAAGAACAGGAATACAAATGTTTGAAAATAATGAATGAGTGAATCTACTAATAAATAAATTGGATAAGAATAAAAAATATTGAAAAAAAATTCCCAAATAAGATGTACCAAACCACAAACCGCATGAAAAACGCAAATGCCAACAAGATGATAAATGGAAAATTTTAAGAAGTGAATGTGATTTGCTCAAAAAATTCCAACATTTTCCTTGTATTGATTCTTGAAAATTGATAACTGAGAACTTCTATACTATTTTTACCTTTAATTGGAAACACAAAATTTTTTAAAATTTGTAATATGGAAGGGATGACAGATTCATATTGATAATTGAAAACAGAGAATGAAATTAAATGTGTAAAAGACAAAATTGGATGATCTCTATTTCTCCAAACAAAATTACAAATAATACTAATACACAAACTAATTATTAATGGTTTCTCACAATTGTACTTTAACCCCTGCTTAATAATAATAATAATCATCATCATAATAATAATAATAATAATAATAATAATAATAATAATAATAATAATAATAATAATAATAATAATAATAATAATAATAATAATAATATATTTGCCACATAAATACAGCCTATGCCATATATGACAAGTCAGGATATGTATATAATCATAAAATTGCTGTATACACGTATTTCTACAAATTAAATGCAAGACTAAAATTCAATTCAATTCTAGTACTAAATACAATATCTTGGAATGCTAATTAATTTTATAGATGATAGTGTAAGAAGACTAAAATTAAAAATCAATAAAAAAAGAAAGAAAGGAAAAAAGAGAGAAAAAAGAAGTCTTCATAGATTCATGCCTGGGCTGGGTCTGTCCTTTATATCCAACACCCAGTTTAGGGGGGTTTCAAAACATGCAACAGAAAATGCAAACATTATTAGTACTACTTGAAATTGATGTAGATACGTGTTTATGATGTGTATATTCCTTTGTACTGTAGAATGTATGGTTTAACAGGAAAGCTTTCAGTTTATTTTTTAATGTGTGTATCAGATTTAAGTTTTTAAATTCTCTAGGGAGTTTGTTATATAGTGTAATGCCTTCTATAAGGGTCTAGTATTGTAGTTACGAACTTCTGTGTTTAGAGTAAAAAATGAAAATGTGAATTCTTTCTGGGGAATTTCCATATTTTAGGTGCGAGTGAACATTTGCAAAGTACACCATTCGCAGTGTATGCGAGTTAAAATTTGATTTAAGGATGTATATGGCATAAAATGACTTGGTAAGCTTGTTTAGATCTGTGATATGGGAGTTCCATTTTAGATTATCTTGAATAGTCAGGATAGGATACTAGGATAATATAATTTTTATTTTTTGTTTTTTTTTGTTTTATTTGTGTTAATTATTTAACGATTAATTTATTGTAATGTATGTTGCCTTCATGCACTGTTCATTGTTTATACTTTAGCATTTAAGAAGAAATTTAATATTTTGAAACATTAGCGTAACTAATTTTTTCTCTAACCACATGGGCCAATCCCGAGAACCAATTTTATTTCTTTACTGAAGTTATTCATAGAGATAATGACAGATTTTTAAATCATGAAAACAAAAATTCTAAAGGAATATTCCAATGCAACTGGAAAGGTCCTCTTTTACAACACAGCTTGGAAGTGAAAACTTTTCATTTAAAATGCCTATTTTCCTCTCATCTATTCTTCAAGTTGACTGATATTTAAAGAGAATAGTCAATTGACATGATTTGAGTATATTCAAAGAACAGATGATACTAGAAAATTCAAGGAGATCAATAAGTAGAAACATAAGAAATGTGAACAAAGATTTCTGAATAAAACAGCAGAATGAGAAAAGCAATGGTGTGGCATTGTTCTCTTTTTTATTCACTCCAATCAGATTGAATCAGATGTAATTAGCTGCCAGGAAATTAAGAATATCAGTCAATTTGTGAAGAAGAAAAACAGTAAAACATTTATTGTAAATCGAAAATGAAGTTCAACAAAAGTAGGGCTTACATTACACATACCTATACCATTGTAACATTGCTCCAGTAATTGCCATTCCACCAGGAACTTGAAAAGACATACGTCCAAAAACATTTTGTCTCTCCCCTGAATCTGGATGGAATGCACTTTCATATAATTTCTTGGCATAAATTATTTGCTCACGAGTTGTTCCAGGAGGTTCTGAACAGTTTCTGAAAAAGTATGTACAATCACACATGTCATTCCCCTTCAAAAACAAAAAAGGAGTATTACACAAGTAGACCGAAATAAAATTGAGAATTACTTGTATTGTTCAACTAATATTTTTGCTTCATCGAGAGTTGCATCTGAAACCACACATGTGCGAGGATCAGTAACCCATGCAAAATGTTTCACCCTCCCAATAAACGTATTTTGGTCCCAAAGAGGCTTGGTAATATCAATTCGCTCTGATTCGGGCATCTCTCCAATTCTCACTCGCTGAGTCCTAGAAAGGCAATGAATGTTAATCGGTCACTCGTGAAAATAAGATTGATATTACAAAACGCCAGTTAGTTTCTGCACCAAAAAGAAAATGCCTTATTAAATATTTGAAAGTGTTTCTAGAAATACTTCAACAGCTTGCTTCCGAGATAATAAAATCTAACCTACAAAACAAACTCGAGACATTAAATCGCAATTATAATTGACACTTAAGTTTTATCATCCTATTTATCAATGTTATTACCACTATCTACAATATGATTATGCTATCATGACGAGAGTTTTAGCTTAAGATACACGAGAAATATATTTACGATACGTGCCAGCGCCAAACAGTTGCTTATAACCTGCTTATAATTCACACGTCCAGCCGAAGCTCCGTCAGACTGACGGAATTACAAAGTGTGCAACGACTAAGGGTGTAAGTAAAATTATTCCACACATGACTCATACAGCCTGAAATGACATTGTCAGTTTACTTTTCACTGGCATTGGACAAACTTGCAAACAATCTTATCAGTAGAAATTCAGTCGAATGGATGAGTAAAACCGAGCAGCAGAACACCGAAGTATTATAAGATCATTTGGGACGGCTGGGAATTACCGATTTGGATCACAGAGAATCACAGTGTATTATAGAAAACGTAAATAAACTAAGTAGAACATATGAGAAGGTCAAGGTACCGTGCCACAGGTATCACAGATACAGCAACACAGCAAAGAGTCAGTGCTGCATTTCCTGAACAAATTAACCGACTCAAGCTGCATGAATTTACTAAGAACAAAACAGTAAGGACGTTTGCATGGGCTCTCTGAAGTGAGCAGGGGCGTATCTCTAGTTGATCATTTTGGAAGGGGGCCATCGCAGATTTTGTTAAATAATAAACATATTGTTATTATATTATTTATGTACTGTAGACATGATCCTCCACAAAATTATTGTTTAAATAATTATATAATTCGAACATGAATAAATGTTTAAAACAATTTTGCCAAATAAAGGAAGGAAAAACGAAAATTCTAGGATTGGAGGGGGGTGCACGGCCCCCTTCCCCCTCTGGATCCAGCAGTGGGCATGGAAGAATCTTGTTCCAAGGTGTGAGCATGTCAACATTCTCTCCCTCTTCCATTCCACCTGTCGAACTGATTTCTAGTCAGACGCTAATATCAAGTTTATTTTAAGGGAGTCCAAAAATGATTATTTAATATTATTGCATAAGTGGAATCCTCCTACAACCTCCTGTATTCTTCGGTGCATAGGGGTGCCCAGCCTCAAACCAAAGGGGGTATAATTAGCCTAAATTTCTGGGTCCCCTTTTTTCAAAAAACCTTATTTACAATTAACATATTTTACTTGTAAATAATCAAAACATACTCATTGTGAATTGAATTACAATGTTAATGATACAATATACAAAATAAATTGAATTTATACTGACAAATTGACATTGATGCTAGAAAGTTTGGAGCCAAATGCGTAATAATTTCCCAAATTGTCAGGTATAGAAGTCAGGGACATAGGCTATTTAAGTTGTTGTTGTTGTTGTTGTTGTTGTTGTTGTTGTGTGTGTGTGTGAGTGTGTGTGTGTGCGTGTGCGTGTGCGTGTGCGTGTGCGTGTGTGTGTGTGTGTGTGTGTGTGAACACAAGGCTACGGGGCTCCTTTCAAAGATTTCAAGGACTCGCTCTCTCCCCCGGCAACCCATTTGCGCACGACTAAGCTTTGGATACATCGCAGAGATTTAGGACACCCTCGCCCCCATTAACGACGCTTCTGGAGAGTCAATGAGTAGAACACATTGCTTATTAAATCATGCGATTCCGTCATTACTCAAAAGTGGAACCGCAAAGACCTCTTACGTAGCCGGAGGCTGCATAGTGTTCCTCTCAATTTCTGGGCGCATTGGAAATTAGTAACATTCCACGTAATTGAGATTCCAATCGCATCCGTACATACTGATTCGACAATTCGAATTATTATTGACAATTGATTCATTTTGTAATTTCGAATTTGACGCTCATGCGAAAGAAAATTATACTGAAAATGTTTCATCAGGGTGATGAGGGAGACGAATTGACGAGGGAGATACTACCCCGTAGAAAGTTTGATGCCTCCGGTTGGAAACGTATTATAATTTGTACATGCGTGCGTTAATACATAAAGGAAAATTATTATTGCTGTATTAAATGCTCAACACTCTTAAATTATCAACTCTCGTGGCTCTTTTACGTGAAAGGTACGTGAGAGGAGAGGGGGAAGAAATCTCGGAGCTCGCGAAAACGTGCTCAGAATGTAATAGAAGTCCAATCGAAGAGATGAATCTCAAGACACATGAGTCGGTTCTGTGGCTATAGATCAGCTTTTGGTGAAGTAACGCCGTACTGGATATTCTGCTTTTGAAAGTCTCTACCGAGAGTGTCTGGCTGGTAGTAGAACGTAGAGACACAACACCTGGCGGTAGAATCCAAAATACTACAAAGGTTAGAGGATGTTCTTATTTTTGCAAGTAAATTTTTACCTCGTCTACGCAGGTTCTCCCACGACGTCGTCCGTGATCTCCCAGGTTCAACATCGTTCGACTCATTTTGCGATCTCTGCTATCGAATTTAGTCGCGAATGACTTCGTATTGATTCGTTTTACTTTTTCCCTGTTCGAAGGAGCTTCGCAAGAAGAGAAAGTTATATGCAATCGTGCTCCGGAAAACGGCGATTTTTTCCCCGTGCTTCTGTAATTCCTCTCATTTCGCGAATGCTTTTGACGACTAATGTCAGGGTGCAGGGCGTGAATTGCCAGCTTTCTCCAGGAGAAGAGACCGGAAGGAGAGATCGGAAGAGAGACCGGTTGATGAACTGATATCACTAGCAATACCTCTGACAGGAAGGTCCTAGGTTTGAGTCCTCACGGCGGCAGGATTTTCGATACTAGCTTGTCAGCAAGATCAAATTCATTGGTTTGTCTGGAGGAGAAATTTAGCGTTTCCCGTGGTTCCTTCGATCAACACCAGGCGAATGCAGGAGCAGTTCCCTGACAAACGGGACATGGACCACGCTCGACCATTCCTTCTTTCACCCCATTTTTTAAAAAAACACTTACATGCACTACACTATCACACTTGTCAGGAGACCATTCGGGAGCTTGGAGTTTGTCCCGGTTGGGGCGGTGCCCCGATGGAAGGATATACTTGGTCGGGGAAAACCCCGCTAGCCGATGGCGCTGGATCTCGCCACCCAATGGGAGAAGACCGCTACCAAAAGAAACTTTACGGTGTTTAAATATACTTTTGAGTGCCTCGAAAGCACTTTTCATTAAATTTAACGGGAGAGAACACTTTCACGAAGAAATGCCTCAGTTTTGTTGTTGTTTGGTTGTTTTTATTCACTTATCTTACGGCTCCAGTATATTTTTAACTTATTAATACTCGTATTTTTTCTTTAACTACAGCTTTTTAAAAATGTACGTTATGAAAAGACCTTCCAAGAAACGTTGCAATGGAGTAAAGACATTTAAAAACAAGAAACTAAATCTTAAGTTTTAACATCAATACTTTGGTTTCTTGTTGTAAGAACATATTTGGTCTCTAGGAGTCATTATAATAATAATAGTAATAATAATAATAATAATAATAATAATAATAATAATAATATTTATTTGGCTACAATGGCCTGATTGCCAGGTGGTAGCATAACCCACAGTTTTACAATATATGAACATTTATAATTCAAAAACAATTACATATAAAAACAATTTCAATACACTCCTTGTCGAGCATATACACTCCAATATATAAAATACACAGCCTGTACACATCTATGCAACATCATACACCCATACACACACACACACACACACAAATATATATATAACTATATATATATAATATATTATATATATATGTGTGCTGTGTGTGTGTGTGTATGGGTTATATATTGCCATAGATGATATTAATATATTATATATACATAATATATAATATATATATATATTTCATATATATATATATATACATATATATATACATGCATTCCTGCAATTTGTTTTGTAACATAAACAACATGTTCATAAAATTTCTTCCAATTCACATACTGAAATGCAATTACAATATTTTGTTTCATTTCACAAATACGAGTAATTTTCAGTGACGATGTGCGTTGCGGGTTGCATTGTTTGGGCGATCCTATTTGATACAACCTGTCAAACCAGCGTTTGCTGGCGAAGCGAAAATATGGATAGGGAAATAACCATAAAGCAGACAAATATAATTCCAAACCTACGTTTCACACATACTCATGTTATCAAAAGTATCCGTACACGTCCAAAATGGTGTTATGGTGTGTGTGTTTTGCGTGGAGGGGGCTTGCACCCCTTGCTTTTGTGGCACTATCATGGCACAGGCCTACATTGATGTTTTAAACATCTTCTTGCTTCACACTGTTGAAGAGCAATTCGGGGATGGCGATTGCATCTTTCAACACGCTCGAGCAGCTGCTTTCCCGAACCGCTTAAAGAAAATGATGGGACATTGTTTTCTTTCACTTTTGTGAATCCAGGGGCAAGACTTCTTAAGTTTTATTTTATTTACTAAATGTATATTTAAATAACACTATACTGTTAAATTTTTATCGGTAAATTTATGTATTACATGGTTAGGCGGAAGGGCGGACCTATTATTAAGATTAACATAATCAAATATGTGTATATTTTGAAAAAAAAAACAAAAAAAAACGTAACCGTGTCATTGTTCTTGAAGTTTTCCAAGTTTCTGGGTGTCTGTCGAAACTATTGACACTCATCACATGGTCAGAGGCTGCTTTACTTTCCGTCGGCGTATGCGTGTATTTGAAATTAGTATCAATTTGAAACGATTAAATCGCACAGAGTGTTTTCGCCTAATTCAATTTTACACTGACGGGTATTTATTATATATTATCATATTTGTCTATTCAGATAAGAAAATCAATGAATTATTTCTATAGTGTATCGCTGCTTCGGCTTGCCCTACTTCACTTCAAACTGTCCAAATTCATCCTGCTCCTTTCCACATTCCTCGCCCTGTGCGGCCTCGCCTGACTCCGATACTACCCGCCTTACCGCTATGATGTGCGTGAGTCCACATTTAAAAATATTTGTTTATAAATTAATGTTATATAGCATGTACAAAAATGTAAAATACAGATGCAGAAATCCGTATCTCATTTTATATATATATATATATATATATATATATATATATATATATATTAATATATATACACATACCCCCTCTATATAAAATACTCCTCTAAACAGTCTACAACGGTCTTGTTTAAAACGAAAAAACCCCGACGGTGATATTGATTATAGACAGTGCTTTATTTTTTATTGGTTTACCTTTTAAGGTATAACCTATTCATTGAGACTACTTATGATATAACTCTCGATATAACGAACACTCTATATAAAGACAGAAAATACTACTTCATCCCTTGAGTTTCGTTTTGAACTAACACTGTATTTAAAACTGTCCCATCTGGTGCTGCAGCTAGGGTGCCAGATGCTTCGTACAAACATCCGCTGTTAGATGGCAGTAAATCTACGCAATAAGAAACTAGTTGTGCTACGGAATGGCACAGACTTTCCCGTTTTAGTTTTCCATTTCCTTTGGCCTCGGTTACCTATACGAACTTGACACATTTTGCCAGCTGCAATCTATCGCTGCCCAAAGTATATTTATTTTTAATTGATTCATTTTCAGGTTTTCTATAAACAAAACGGAGATATTACTTCAAGAATATTAAAGAACAGAAAACCGTGTTATAAATGGTAATTTTCAGTTGAAAAATATGAGCAGCTTTTAAGAAAATGGCGCTTAAAGCTACAGTAAATTCAAAATGTTAAGCATATTTTTACAGAAAAGTGAGGAGTTTTCGAAAAACTTTATTTACAGTCATTTGAAGCACTTTAACTCAAAAATACAATAGTGTTTACAACTTGCTATAAATGTGCATTTTACCGACATTGGAGATACTTTAAAAAATTTTAAAATAATTTTTGAAAAAACAAAAAAAATATCCCGAATTGAACTTTACGTCACGTCGTTCACATCGTGTCGACGATCACGTCACGTCGTTCACGATAATGCCTTTCACATCGTCACGACTTTACGTCGTTTTTGTGAAAATAGTGTTCGAGCGTTTCTGAAATTGCGAAATTTTGAGCTAGTTTTGACAGAAAACCGTTGAGTTTTCGGGAAACTTTATCTGACATCATTTAAAGCACATGTACTCATGAATATAATAATGAGAACAAATTGCCGCTAATGTAAATATTAGCAACGCGAGAGATACAAGTAAAAAAATCATATTTATTTTAATTTTTGAAAAACCAAAGAATAGAACAATATGGCTTCTAGAGAACATTTAGCAAAGTTTAAAGAAAAAAGTCTGAGCTGTTTTCGAGAAAATATTGTTTTTGTAATTTTTTTAATATTGCACTTATTACTCGCAATGGTGTGTGAAAACTACTAAAATACATGACCTTCGTGAAAGAATCAACTATGGAGAACAGATTTCACGTGAAAGAAAAATTTCTATCAACAATTTTGTAGCTGTAGGAAGATGCCGGAAAAAATTCAAAGATTTTGCAAATTTTCAAAACTTTCGAGTTAACTGTAGCTATGCCGCCTTTAAAAGTGTATTTTACTCTATTATTTCAAAATAATAAAAGAAAACATTGAGCCACTTTTGAGAAAAGTTTGAAAATGTCCCAAAGACTTCCTGTTAGGTACCCCAATTAGATTTTTTTTTCAAAATGGCGGCGCCTCGATTGGAGCCAAATCGAAGGGAGAATATCCATTTTCAAAAAATTCTAGTTATGATTTAGACGCTGGTGTTGTTCACATACGGACGAACACTCTAACGGACGTTTTAAAAAAACACTTTTTCGGTATCAGGGAACCCCAAAACGTAAATTTTACGTTGAAATCTCAAAATCGATTTTCCACGGCATTTTATAACTTTCTCTATACTACGTATATTACTCCGTGCAAGCGTACGAACCTATACGAGAAAGAAATTAGGTCCAATACACATTATTTCTTGATAACAATTTTATTAATTTAGTAAAGAGCAGATTTAAATTAAATTGAGCTCCTAAATAATACATATTAAATTAAAATATGATCCAAAACATTGGCATTTTTATGAGTAACAATAACGCACTGTAAAATAATTATTACCGTTTTTACAAAGAAAAAATAATAATTCATGATAAAACAATATCACAGACAAGAGCATTTCAAAGTTCTACAGTTGCGGGAATATCATCAATTCCATAATAGGTATGTTCTATCTTGTCTTCATAAACTTTCACAATTCTGACACCTGGTTTGGCATCTCCTAATTGAGCTCCAATCGCTGATGTAACCACAACTTCCATGGTCTTATACATACCTCCAGCATTGTTGTGGTAATGTCCACAAAACGCCTTTTCGACACCTAAAATTAAACCATTCGTAGAACAGAATATTCAATGTATTACATGGCATATCCCAATTAGAGTATGGATAAATTTTATGTGTAACCTAATATTAGTATTGAGTTAATGGTTCCTTTGAAGGTCTCAAACCGAAAGTGTTAAAACACGTATGAAAAGTGTGATCGAAATTTTTTGTTGTTTTGTTTTTCATTAATCATATTGCTGAATCCGTCACCTAAAGCGTTTTGGTTTTCAAAATATTTTCACAATTTCGTTAAGCTGGATTCCAGTTTCGAGATATACGTGGTAACATGATAGGTGTCTGTGTTTGCAGGCATTTTCCAAGCGTACCACTACAAATACGATATTATGTTTTGTTTTATGTGATGTTTGTATTAATTTACTGTCAAAATAGTAAAAATGTGATGTTTGGGAGAGAAGTATGTCTGAGAGCCCGGACAGAGAAGAAACTATTTGCAAAAGTACGCCCAAGAATTCCCGTGGAAACTGAGCAATTCTTAGTCACGCATACTGGAAATAGTTAATTTTTTATAGATTATGTAAATGAAAAATTATTACCAGCATCTACTAATTTGTCTAACATCTTAATTGGAACTCGTTTATTAATAGTGAAGGAGATATCAACATCTTCATAAGCATCTTCCAAAAACCAAGGAATATGTTGCAGTAAAACAACACGAATGCCTGGTTTGGATTTTGCCAATTTCAGTTGCTCATCAAGCCACATTTCATGTCTGTTTGCATATTCTTTAACATATTGTGGATCCATATAGTACTGCGAGTTGATAATTAGGAAAAAAAGGCCACCACACCAGAAAGAATAATAGTCATCTCCCCAAGATGCTTTATATCTGTAAAAAACAAGATTTGTATTTTACTAAAAATGTAACACCGATTATTCCTCATAGTAGGTATTATTATTTGTGCCCTATTCAGAATGAATCAATGTATGTACTCCCCAATGAAAAACTTTTAATCTTTGTTTAAAAAAACATTTTAAAAACATGTATGGCCTTGAGTTTCTAGGGGTGTAAGAAAATGGTTGGTTTCATTCCTAAGATCTCAATAAATTCTTGCAATGGTCTGACATTATTAGCAGTCCATATGCTTGAAGACTTTCAAGCATAGAAATTCAATTAATTATCTATTGCATCCCTAAAATTATAATATTGTGTTTAATGATGAGCAAATTTAACATTTTCCGGCCAATAACGTTTTTATTCTCAACATTCTGTCAGTTATTTTTCATTTGTATACTCAACTTAATTGCATCTTTTAATATTCTGTTAAAATAATCACATTTTCTAAAGTAAAATTAAATAATGTATGATTTTTTGGAAGAGATCTGGTGTTTTGTCATATATTTTTAGTTTCAAGATGCCTTTTCACATTTGCTGTGGTGAACAATTACTAGAATAATATATTTCCAGTTTTTTGTTACAAGTTAAAATTCAATTCGTACTGTGTTTTTATATATCTACTGATTTCTTCCACAATTAGTTCAAATTGTAACAAACGTACATTTCTAGTGCTTCAGGTAACGGACTGTCACCAATGTCATGGTTTCCACATGTCACCAAAATAGGAATGGCATGGTCTATTTTATTGAATATCTTCTTAAAAGTGATTTCTTGGGCCTTGTACACATCAGGTGCTTTAGCTAAAAAACAACAAGTACAGGTGATTGCTTTCCAAGAATGCAAGCAAACACCTTTTATTGGGTTATTATTAATTATAAGAAGATTAATACTGAACGATACATGGATTTGATAGTGGATTTGATACTGAATTTTTAATTTTATTTACTCACAATTCAGAACTCTTGAAAACCACTATCCTCAGTCAAAACAAAACTATTGATTAAAGAGACTAAGAATAACCTAAAGAATTACATTAACAGACTTGGTACGTTAACGAAATTTGTAACGTTTACGTAATAGCTAGGCTGCCACAAACGTTTCTTGGACCGGAAGGAGCTGCCAAGTCCTAGTTTCGGGTACCTACACTGGCGAACTTCCGCACAGGCGAAATACTTGGGACGGACGGAAACAGTGCCCGGTCGGGGGATGTTCGACGGTTCTAATCAGTCGTCTTCATAGTTTCCTCTCATAATTTCGAGTTGGATGACATAAGTCATAAACGCACGCGACCCTAGCTTTGTCTGTACTACTATTCCCAAACCCTATAATATTTAGGACAGGGTGATGGGGTGTGTTCCTCCAGTGAAGGGTCCGAGAAGGCATGAGAAAATGCATCCCACATAAGTTTCTTACGCAATTTATTCAAAACAATTACTCCGTATTGATTGCATCACATTCAAAACGTGTATTCCTTTTAAGCGTGTACCATGCAGTCGGCACTTCAAGAAAAAAAATCATATTAAAAAAAAGCGAATTTTTGGATGAGTTTATGAAAGGCTTCGTGCCAAAAGTAGCTCCTCGAATACTTTTTGTATATGCCCCTGTATCGCACGCATCCACATGTGGCACATACTCTTTGATTTAGAAAGACGTAGACAGCTCTTCGAGTACGCAGATGCCAGAACCAGAGTTCCAATTGCACTACAGCGCCATAGAAAGACTAAATAATTTTAAAAAAACTACGTATAATTATTTTACAAAAATAATAAATAATTTCAACTGATCAATGCCATTGCAAGTAGTTTTTAAAATAATAATTACAATACCCAGATTTAAACTATTGTGCCCACCAAAATGTCTTTTAAATAATATATTACAATTACATGCATAGTTTGAGGCAAAATATTTTATGCATTTAGATCCAGCATTGTTGCAATGAGAACTTTGCTTTGAATCCAATTCAGATGGTACATGTAAAGTACGTTAGCTATTTAGAACTATGTATTAAAATTAAAAGGAGTTTTAATTCTTTGATTCAAATTTGAAGATAATGTGCAAATTTTAGAAGCATATTAGGTGTCTTAATGTTTCTATAAATGACTGTTAATTAATAAGGCAAAAATATACTCAATTAACTTGTTCATTAGTTGAAAGCTTGTGTATCCTTACTTGAAACAGCATCACACATGTCTCCACAAATTATGAAAAACCTTGGTTTTGGACTCAACAAATTGATTTTCTCCACCAGTTTTTCACTTAGTTCAGCCTCCTTATCCCAATTAGGAATTGGATTTTGGTCAAAATATCTTGCAATTAAACCAAGCTGAGGATCTGCTCCTTGAATGAAATACCATGGAGACTTCCATCCTTCTTCCTCTATAAGAAGGAAAACATTCAGGCGTTAAAATTGTTTGTAATAGCGGACTTTTGGAGATTGATTCATTGCCCAACCTCCCCGATGGATTAAAATTGCTCATCGGAGACCCACTTCAAGATCTCTCTAGGTAGTATTTATGAATTGCTTGAGGTATTTCGCGGGCTAAGCAAGTCTCAGATCTGATTAGGATGGGATTGTCGGATTACTTTTGCGGAGCATTTAGCCCAGGTTCCCTTTATATGTAGCCAGTACAACACAGCCACTTCGATAATTTGCTCTTGGAAAACCCAATCATCTCACTCGAGATCCAACCCGCGTTCTGGGAATCGAGAGGCTAGCATACTTACATGCGCTTCTTTGAGATAGAACCAACGCATGTGATTCTGAAAATTTTGAAAACGCTCGTTAAGTCTACATATATGAGTATTGTATATTTTCATTTTTAATAGCATTTTTAGAAGAAGTAGTTTAGAATATATAAGGCGCAGATCCACGGGGAGGAAAATGAGAGGAAATTCCCCTCCCAATTTTTTTCAGTAATTATTAATTGTAACTTGTCACGAAACTTTCGAGCAAAAATATTTTCATTAAAATATCATTAAAACTAATGGAGTCGCATGAGCTGAGTTCAGCCTCAGCCATTGTATATAATCTTCAATATGACACATTCGACCAAAACATTTTGAAAAAAAAAAGCTTTATCTTAATTTGCCGATCACAATCGACTCACAGTCGGGCACTTTTATCCCTGGTGTAAATTTAACAACATTCGCGATTTCCTTCCTTTCCGAATATGTATTCCATAACGGTACTTTTTCCATAAAGTCCGCCAGTCTGTAAACAACAACACCGGCTAAATCGTACATGCGAATTCAAAACGATCTTTTATATCTTGAAGGAACATAATACAATGCCCAAGAGACATTTTCACAATTATCTCAAAATATCTGTACAATTTTCCTTCAAACTTTCTACTATAGAATAAAGCCAAGTGCACGAATATGTTATGTGCACGAATATGTTATGTGTTATTTTACGCCAAAACGATTAACTACACACGACGTTTTTGAAAATTTCCATTTGTTTCTTAAATACAGGCACAAAAAATGCACAGATGTTTATTGGCCTGAAAGATAATTATTGTTGTAGCTATCCCTATATCATATTTTAAAATTTACGAGTTCTTCATAAAACATTATTTTTTGTTCTAATTGTATTAAATATATTTCAGATTTGTCTCGTTTAAAACTGTGTTAACTACATTTTATTCCTCAGCAAAAGAATTAATCACAAAGTATTTCATTAAAACATCTTAAATTATTGATTTTAAATGGAAATATCTGTAAGATCTTGATGATCTAAATATTAAAGAAATTGGCGTATTTTTTCTTCAGTTTTCTACGAAATACAACCATAAAAGTGTGGGCTCTGTTAAGCACATTTCCAAAATGACTTATTGTAAGAAAGCGGCCAGTCTGGCACGCTATTCCCTCTCTTTGACTAACGAATTGTGTTCACATAGTCTTTGAACAAAGTGATAATGACCGTCTCTCTGATTATGGTTGATTAAAACTATTAGCATCCCGTACGTTAACATACAGCAGGATGCCGCACGTCTGTACGTATGTGCTAATGAAGGGTCTCTTTCTCTTTCCTCGAAATGTGGTGTCCTTACTCGTGAATTGCACTTCTCCCTACAGTACGTCACAGCTTTTAACTGAACAGAAGCCTGTTAAGGAAGCAAATAAAAGTTTTCTAGGGATCACTCGGTCTGGATACACATGCTGCTGGGAGAGAACTCCGATGAAAGGGAATGAAACGCCTGTGAATTGTGAAACATCATCGCTGATCACCGTTTGAGGAACGACAGATTTTAAATTCGCTATATCGCTATGTTATCACGGTGTTAAGATGATAAAAACACTGAGACGCGCGAGCCATGAAAGTTGAGAAATTCAATTTGGAGAAGCTATTAGTAATTTATAATTCACATAGGACAAATTGTGTTTTTTTAAAATATTCTACGAATGGCAAGTGAGGTCGGAAGCTCCCACAGCATTAATGAAACGTAACGTACTGTAAATGCAATCAAAAACACAACAAATTTAAAAAATAAAATAAAAGCAAGAAAAATGACCAAATCTGCTCTTCAGATATATCGTAAAATGATTATGAAGTCAATGTAGAGGAACTTAACAAGAGCTCAATATCAATATGGGATTTGTTTTGTTGTCATTTTGACAATAAAAGAAATTGCAACAAAAATTGAATCCTCATGAAATGTATTAGAAAGTACAAGGTCTATCGCAGATTGAATGCTCCATGTCGAAGAATTTTCAATGTTCAATGAATAATCAGACAATGAAGATATATCAAACACATAACCAAATCCTTTCAGTGGACGTAACTATTTGATTGGGCAGGACATTCAACATTTGATTGGATTCTAAAAAAACAATATGATAGGACAGAAATATTTGTTCTAAATTTCATTTATTCCTAGTGCTGTTTGAATACGCATAATCATTTAACTGAGCATTTGAAACCTATGTATCAAAATCTGAAATCAAAACCTGCATCATTTCAGCTTTTCTGCTAAAAAGTAAAGGTACAGTGAAACAATTTTCTTTCAATACATACAGCAAAAGAGTATATTTTAAACATTATTTGAGGGCGGGATCAAGAACCTAGTTTAAACGCAAACCCCCAGCGGCGATTCCATAGTTGTCAGTGATACGACAAGCAACACTGCATTAAATAACTGCAGAAATCAATGTCAGTCGTAAGACGAACGTCTCCGGTAGGACAGCATGGCGGAATTTGGCTTAAATAGCCTTTGGCAGCTGGAGATCATTTAGAGTGCCTTTGCTAACAGTACGGCATTGACAGCAGCGCCTCTCCTGGGCACGCGACCAAATTGATTGGACCCTAGACAACTGGAAAATCGTGGCTTGGTCAGATGAATTCCGATTTCAGATGGTAATAGCTGATGGTGGGATTTGTGTGTGGCGCCGACCCCATGATGTCGTGAATCCAAGTTCTCAGTTCGTGCAGAAAATCCTGCACCAGCACATTTCGCAATTATGAACTGCTATAGAGGCAGCATGGCTCAATATTTCTGCGGGTGTCTTCCTAGGGCTTGTTGAGTCTATGCCACGTCGGGTTGCTGCACTTCACCGGGCAAAATGAGGTTTGACATGATATAAGGAGATATTCCATGACTTTTGTCACTTCAGTTCATATTGCGAACAGCAAGCTGGCTCGACGAAAGCGTACTTTGGACAGTTCTGAATAATTACCCCATCCTTTTAAGTTATTGATGCACGCCATTTTTAGCGAAGTTCATCAAACAATATTTCCAAAAATAATAAAGTAAAAGGAAAATAAAAATACGCTTTCAAGCAATAGTCTTTTGTGAACCATAGAATAAATACAGAAAAGGAAAAAAATAGGACAGTTACATTTTCATATATCTGTGTTATTTTTAACGTGTTGTTAAAAATAGAACATTATCTATTTTTATTAATACCTCTGAATTTTTAAATTTGCGCAAGTTTTTTGTCATTCTCCTACAACTTTATATGAACCTTAAGATTTATTTTCAATACAGTCTATTCTTCAAAATTGAATTTTTAAATGATGTTAAGTATATTTGCTTCCCAAAATTTTTTTTTCGTAATTTGGGTCAAATGGTGATACAATCCCCCCAAATAAACAAACAATAATTTCTCAAAAAACTGCATCAACTCTTTTTCTTTCATGGCCCGTCAATGAATGGCATTGACGAAAATGTTGTTGCAGACATTCCGAGGATTCGGCAGTTATAACTGCGTCGTGTCAATTTAAATACATTTTGCTTTGGTCTATTTCACAAGCACTTCATATTGATGGTTTGCAGTACTAGTCTACTAAAGTTTACACATTTGATAAATAAAATAAAACCACAAACTCAAATATCATGTAGACCCATTTATAACACCTCGTATATTACAGTACCTAACGGTATGTTCAGATATTATGGTACTACAGGTATTTTAATGAACTTGTGTGTAACGCGACTCATTTGTATGATTATTTTTGTTCAAGAATTGTATATAACAAATACATTTAATAATGATTATAGATTCTAACCTCATAAAGAAAAAACATTATACATTACGAAACGTTAAAAACATTACGTACGTAAATAAAAACTTAAAATATTAAAATGTTAAATAATCAAAGAACTAAATTTACACTTCTTGAGAGAGAGAAAATGTTTTATAACCTTTTTACAAAACTGTTTACTTCATTGTTTTCGGTCCAAATCTTCCATTCATATTCAAGAACATTGGTCCTCTGTGTTTTGATTGTTCTGAAATTACAAAAATATCTTTATAAAATACAAGATCTTTATGAACATTTCCATAATATTTAGATTTACGAATTTAAGTTAATTTGCTACGCCGTAACTTAAGTACAACCTCTTGCTTGTGTTTTACACAAACAATCCATTCATGGCACATGATCATACTCTTTGACATGACTAGTCTTGTCATGACCGTGCCATACACACAAGCCGATAACGAAATTGATGACGAACTATTGCAACCTAAGTTTTTTTTTCAGACAATATGGTCTGCCCTATATTTTGACATAAATAAATAAGTAGTCACACCCACTTCGTCTTATAAAAATTTAATAGAAATGTTTTCCTTTAATCTGTAACCAACACTGAACAAATGTAGTTGTAACTTCGGTAATCATATCGGCATTAAAAATATTCAAGAAGAATGAAAAAATTAACCCCATCATGATGAATAATGTGTTTTCGTAACAGGACAGTCACCTTCAAATTTTAATAAACTATTCCTCTATTCCTTGATCCACAGGATGTTCAGTTGTTCATACTTAAAACATTTTAATCCTGTGGTTAATAGGCTTCTGCCCTTAGTATATTCTGCAAATGAACTTTGCAAATTCCTAACACATCAACTGATAGGTACTTACTGTAATATAAGTCTTTCTCTTATACTGTGTCTAATCGAGTCAGAATGGTCTCACGAGAGTATGGCGAACAACACCACCGCACCGCGCCAACGCGAGCGGAATGGCATCGAATTTATAACTTGAAACTTTAAGGCTCAGTGACGCTTTGTTACGAACGTCCAACAATTTAAATTAGATTTATTTAGTCAAAAAAAGTACAAACTGTAGGTGACGTATGGGTAAGAAGATTAAATGCGCGCGTTTCCTTGAGTTTCCGAATCCCTTCCCGTCATTTTAACTATAAATAGTTGAAAGATGAGTAAGAGTTTAAAATTATTAAATAAAAATACATTTTAAAAACAGCGAGATTAGCAATATTTGAAAAAATATACATTTTCTTTTCCGAGTTATAAAAAACTTATTTGCATCGGTAAACGAATTGCCAGTATGCTTTTTCTGCATTTCTAACAAAACCGTAACTCGCCCTTACCGCTACTCCTACCACAACAAGCAAAAGGAGAGTTCAACAAAACGTGCGCATAGTGAAGTTACAGTTACGTCCAGAAGCAAAACAAGGGGCAATCTCAGCATTTCCTCAATTGATCAGGGAAACTGGACAAAAACCTGATCGAGATGGGGGTCATTTACCCGGAAGCTGAAGTACAGTATTTATTACAAAGATACTAATTCTTTCAAAAATATACAATACAAATGTAAACTAATTCATTATATATCAGCTGTGTTAAAATAACTATTATTTTTCTTTTTGATAATCAGTATAGTCTCTAATTGTATAGAAACAGTAATGCAGCAGAAAAGATTTTACTTTTAACTTAAATTTGTGAACTGACTTCAATTGTTTAATATCATCTGGCAATGCGTTGTAAAGTAACGTACATGTATTGTATGTGGAGTTCTGATAGTAAGCTCAATACGGCGCGGCTCCGACCTTCGGCCTGTGCGATTAACATAAAACATCCTTGAGACTGTCCAACGCGTAATTTCCAATGCAGTACTTGTTATGCAGTTCTTGTTGGCTGAACACTTTTCTTGGTATTTTGACGCTTCACTACACCTGACAAAGTTGGGTGACGAGGCTTCGGCCTTCGTCCTACGCGATTAATATATCACACTCTTGAGCAAGAGAAACGTATAATTTCCAACTGATATTCGAACAGATTGCTATCGACCTTCGAACTACGTAAACGGAATGCAAATATTTGTAAACGAATTTAGTTTCATGTGCCCGAAAGAATACGCAAAAGATAAATGTTCTTAGAATAGTCGTATCGTGGATTAACGCGTTTGTCCGTCGCTGTTCAATTGAAACAATGGAAATTCGAGAGAAAGTGGGAGTACTGGGATCTGAGAGGAGGCAGCGTGTTTTTATTACGGTTTTGTTGGGCTGTGTCCGCACATTAATTTATCAAAGAATATGAACCTTTCAGCTGAGTTCATGAATTACTGTTCTGTTTGCTGCAAATATTATGTAATCCATTCTCGTGACCACAATTACATCTCCCGTTACAAACATAAAAATTGTCTTAGACATTGTTCGGTTGTTCACAGATGCCAGACGCTTCACTACACCTCGTTTCCTCGTTCAAGAAATACTCTGTAGAGGTAAAAATGTATGTGATAGTTTGTACATGCATGCCGCCCCTCCTAATTCGCAACGCACTGGCTGCCACTGCTCTATTAAGGCCCATTCACAATGCAAACATAAACATAAGCATGGCGTTAACAAAAAAGTTAGGTCTACGTCAATAATTGGACTCATTCACAATGCGTTCGCAAAATCATAACACGAACGACGTTAACTTAAAAGCTTGCAAGCTTCAAGCTTCTGTGCTTTTGCTTAAGTACGACATAAGAAATGAACCAATCATAGTCCGTAAACTCAAAATCGAGAATTGAAAGACTGGACATGAAACGCCATATGGGCCATGGGCACAGTCGATACCTTAAAATGGATTTTCACATCCAACCAATAGTAAACTTGAATGTCTCACATCCAATAGAAACTCTTATTTTGCTTTTTAACTTGTTACTTCTATCACTAATGTTAATGTCTATACGTAATGCTTATGTTACGTTCGCATTGTGAACGGGCCTTTACGGGAATTATGACCACAGAAATTGACGCGCCTGGAAACAATAACCAATCATATGTATTTTTTATTGAACTTACGACCCAATCTTTTACTGTAGTACATGAAAAGTGGGGCGCTTTCATTTATTGGATATACTATATTTGCATAAATGAAATTGCCGGCCGTCTGCCTGGTGGCTCAACAGCCTCTGTCAGGGCCAAACTCTACCAGCAGCGTTCCGGACTTGCGACCATGGGTTAAGGGGTATATGTAGTTAGCATATAGACATTCCTACGCCGAATTCTAGTCTTCTCAACCTGAGAAGTGAGTTTTCTCATCGTTACACAACAACAGATACTGGGACATTGCAAAGAAAGCACACACTATAATCTCCCTCGATTGGAAATCGACCCCAGGATCGCGTCATGGAAAGCGAATACGCTGACCCCCCCCCAGTGAGCTACCCGTGGTCGGGCCCTTTGCCGGTCCGGTACTTACCACCAACTCAATCTAAAATTTACTAGCTGGTCCCGTGTGCAAACTGCATATACGTCAACAACTCTTGGGGGGATAGTGGATGTTGTTTCTGCACCCGACGGTGTCAGACAGCTCGGCGCTTCGATACGCAGCCGTGGACAATGCACCTTGGTAAGCGCAAAACAATGGACGAAAATAAACCTGATCGTGGAGTTCTCACGTAGGATTCCTTAAGTAGGCAGCTTCGCGTGCCCTGGGAAACAGTGTGACCTGCTGCTTGTCGAGTCAGCCCGATGTCAGAGGAGGTGCGATCGGTTATAGTGTAGTTGAATCACTATTTCGTGTTTCCGGCCGCATCAACCGCTATAGTTCCCATAAGTGTAGTGCATTATTTTATCACGGGATGTAGAGATGTTCTTCCTCCCACTAAGATCCGGCGCCGATCTACACGTCGACTGGCGTGGTTTTCCCCAACCAGGTATCTCCCACTAGTTGGGCGCCGACTCCACAGGAATAAGTTAAACGCTCCCGACATGTGTAGTAGTGTAATGCATATAAGTGTAAATGTGTGAGGGTATGGCGAGGAAGGGAAAGGAAATATCAGGCGCGGCCCATGGCCCGTTTGATACGGTACTGCTCGGGTATTCACCTGGTGTTGATCGTAGAAACCTCGGAAACTACCGATCAGAACAACCGACCGCTAGAATTCTCCTCCACCGAGCGGGTGAAGTTCGACCTAGCTGTCTAACTAGCATCGAAAATCCTGCCATCCCGTCTAAACGCGAACCCTAGGTCCTCCCGGTCAGAGGCACTGCAGTGACATTGGTCGATATCCTGATCCTCCTTAGTTGATCTACGGTTAGAGGCTAGTGGCACACATGCACACGGCAACGGACAAGCGCGGGCAGTCCGGCCAGAGCACTTGCGTTTGGGTAGCGCTGTTTTAAAGGATTACAACACATGACTCCAAGCGTTAAAACTGAGTTGTAGCCTATGGCGAAGAGGCAGAAACCACATGATAGCCCAACCGAGGACAGGATCTCAGTGGGACTTATTTTTGGCATCTTCACCTTTTAGGCAAAACTTTTGCCCTCGCTGGAGCAAACCGTACTAAGGCAACTGAGAGTAGGTTCCTGGATATAGCAAAACTGTTTTTAAAAAGAAAGAAAAAATATCTGAGAAACAATTGCAGTAGTACTAAGTAAGCGTTGTTACAAACGGAATTCACAATTAACATCCCAATGAGAAGAAACAAAACAATATTTGAAACTTTCTTCCAAGTCGAAAGTGTTTGGATATAGGATTTGGTTATTTTGTTTCATCTTCCTCGTTGTTCTAACATCCAAACATAGAAGAGTTGCTGCTTCTCTTTCTCTCTTAGATTTTAAAGTTATTTTCATTTTTCAGATCAAATTCGAACGCCCATTCTACCGGAGCTTTTATAAGTTTTAGAACGCCATTACCTGTTTTGACATTGAAGTTACTCCAGAATTCAGTCTCGCTTCCGTTCCTTCATCATTACGTTCAAGGTTTTCTTCGCTGATGATTTACCAAACCTCCTCTGCAGTGAGGTCATTATAACGAGAGTTGCATGGATCCTAAATGGCTTTCTGTATGTGTGGTCAATACCTCCGAATTGACGCAATCGAATTGAATTATATTACAAATTGTGTTATTCTATTAATGTGAATTGACATTCCAACTTCGATATTTTTGGAGGTGTTACTTAGAACTCAGGTGTCTGCCGAGTTTGCTTTCCAGATACCGCTGATAAAGGAAATGAAATGTATACTCGCTTTCAAAAACAATGTAGTACGGTGAAAAGACGCACATACGAATGTTGAAGTCGCAAATCTTAAAACCGGTAGCATTTCTCTCATCGCAAAACTCGCGAATGACGAATTCGCGGATGTCGGGCATGTCTGTACTTTCAAAATATCAATGATTTTAGACATACATCCATGATTTAAACATCGACATATTTAAAGACCATGTTTTCTTTTATACATTGATGTTGTCCTCGCTGTTTTTACGTTTGCCATGTTTTGTTTATGAATAAAAAACGTTCACAATCACAGATTTACAAAAGTTTTAAAAGTAAATAATAACTAATGTAACACTATCATAATGATAATTACTGTCAGTTTATTTGTTGAACCCAACGATTCTGTTTATACTATCTTCAGCGAGCATCCTTTGTTTTTACTATTTAATTTTGTTTTCAGTTAAATCTCAATTATAAATTAATGAACATGGCCACTGAGAAAAAAATTGCTGAACCCGAATGTTCGAAGTCACTAAATTGCCTTAAAACATTTATGCTTATTGGTCGACATCATAATGAAAAGACGAGGATTTCCAAGAATAATGGGAGAAACATATTTACACAATCTAATGAAAATAACTCAATTTTGGGCAATATGCTTCCAACCAAAAGAAAGACAATTTGTGGCTAATCCTCAAATTGAAAAGGAGGGAGGAGTTCAACATTCTCTACTTTGTTAATAAAACCAAAAAGTATATATAATGTATTGCATAAATAATAAAATTATGAATATTTTTTTTAGTAATTACTTTTATTTAATAAAGAATAATTTTATAAAAATAAAATTGGCACAAAAAATAATACAAACACAGTAATAATGGTATTTCTTCATAGCCAATAATTATAGTTTCATACAAACTGCAATTTAAAACCTAACAATTTATAAAATAAGATCAAGTGTAAACACACATCAAAAAATTCAAGTCATTTACTAAGTAATTCCAATTTTAGGAAATCAAAACTTTACACAAAAGGTTTCACACTTTACACAAAAGGTTTCTGCATGCATTTACTTACATTCCTTTAAAATGACCAATTTTGTATACGAGTTCTTTAAGGCACGTAAGACTACAAGGAAACTTCATCTTAAATTAATATATCTTGAAAGGGAGTTTCTTTACTGTAATTCAGAGTTTTACAGAAGAAGGAATATCATCAATTGCATAATATTCATGCTCTATCTTGTCCTTGTAAACTTTCACTACTCTGATGCCTGATTTATCAGGCCCCAATTGACCTCCAATTGCTGATGAAACAACCACTTCCATAGTTTTGTAAGTACCACCAGCATTGCGATGATAATGCCCACAAAATGCCTTCTCAACACCTGAAACAAAGACATAAGTGAGAAAAAATTTGTTTCCTAAATACTAGTTCATAATATTTTTTAATTTAATTTTTAATCAGATTTACATCAGATTTACACAGATTAACACTGGAAAATTATACTCCATTTTACAGGGAATTAAAGTGATGTATCAAGTACATCTAGTTTTTGCAAGTACGAGTCAGGAGAGGATTCAGCCGATCATTGGGAGGGGGGAAGGTGTCCCCTGTAGATTTTTATTGAATAATTAACATATTTGTTATTATATTGCATATTATTATATTATTTACATACTGCAGATATGATTCTATACAATGTTATTGTTTAAATTACTACATAATTAGAACATAAATAAATATTTAAATCAATTGCACCAAATAAAAGAACGTAAACAAAACTCTTAGGTGTTTTTTGGGGGGACAGGGCATGCCCTCCTATCTGGATTCACCACTGGGCAGAGCAAAGACCCACCCGCCTGAAAGAAAGCAAACAAACATGTGGGTCTTTTTTATGAAACACTGTGGGGTGCTTTTTTATAAAAAAGTTTAACTTGTGGTTATTGTAAATAAGTTTTTCCAATGCATAAATAAAATAATATATAATAAATAATTTGTATTATGTACATAATATTTTGTAATTCTTTTAATAGAAAAGGTAATGAGTATGTATAGAATCATTTCTAGGTTCAATGAAATGGGAGGCACACATCCTGCAACTGTATCTGAATCTGCCTCTTCATTATTCACTTTACTCCTTGACAAAAAATCTGATATCTAATATTGTGTGGAATATTTTTTTTGAACAGTTACAACAACAGCAGCAACTCTTAGCATGCAAAATGCATGAAAGTGCAGGGATTTTATGGAACTTGGGAACTCAGTTCACTCAACGTCAGGTATAAGCAAAAACAGCCAATACTTTTACACCCTTAGAAAGTATAAAATAAAAGCATACCAGCATCTACTAATTTGTCCAACATTGCTCTTTGAACTTCTTTACTAAGGGTAAAGTAACTTTTTTCTACTTCTTCATCAGTAGATTTCAAAAACCAAGGAATATGTTGTAGTAAAACCACACGACTTCCTGATTTCAATTTCGCCAATTTTAGTTGTTCATAAAGCCATTCCTCATGTTTACTTGCAAATTCACCAACATATTTTGAGTTGGCCAAGTACTGGCTATTGATGGTTAAAAATAAAACACCACCACACCAAAAAGAATAATAATCATCACCCCATGAAGCTTTGTATCTGCAACAAACAAATCTCTCAGAATATTTAAAAAAACAATTATTTCTTGTTAAACAAAAAAAAAATTGATGAACCTTTCATATTACAATGTATATTCAAGACATTTACACACATTCTCACATTATTAAAAAAAAAAAAAGTAATATCACACAAGCAAATTCTGAAGGAACAGTTGGAATATATGAAAGTATTGCTCATGCATTACTGCACACCACTGTTGTAAAATATTGCGTTGCTATACAATCAGAGAACAGTATAGCTTTGGAATCAGAGAAAAATTGAAATTTATTCCTCACGTTTAAAATTTTTTTAACATACTCAGCACTTCCTGCAAAGTAAAATTAAACAACAAAACTTAGCAAGATTTGATACTTCTGCAATAATTAAACATTCTTTTGATAATGACATTTTTTTTCTCAATATGACATATGCTAACTTCCATTTTTTTTCTACTATTACAATAGTACATTTTTGTAGTTGTGCAAGCAGGATTTTTCAGTGGGATTTGAAAGTACTACAGGTGTAGTGACCAAACAATTTGATTCTTCTTCTTTTATGCTGAATTTAAAGTTTTTTTAAATTGTTGATTTATAAAATATTGTTGTTGTTATTTATAAAATATTTAACTGAGTTATTGATTGACTTTTATTATCCTAGTAAATTATTAAATATTATATATATTTGTAGAAATGCATTATTAGCTACAGCGAGGAGCTAAATAGACACCCCCCCCCCCTGAGCACATCACTGCAATTCAGGAACTGTGTGAATACAATTCCTTTTTTAAGATTTTTTCTTGACAACTTTTCTGGTGATGTATGTGGGCAATTTTGAACACAATACTGACTTCTATGTCACACAAGCCACACATATATTCCTAATCCCTTTGTAACATTGAAGCTGGTTTAACATTTTCTCATTATTATCAGTATTTCTCAACCAGTTTAACCAATTGGTCTCTTCAATGTCTTTGTTCAACCTATTATTTATTATGATCATCAAAAAAATTCATAGTATCGTGAATGTTTTAGGATGCATTCAATTTCACAGATCATGCAGTTTTCATAATTTATACAAATTCATTTATCCAGAGTATTAATCATTACTCATTATTACCATTTATACATAGTTCTTAAAATAATTAACTATTTCTATTAAAAAACAACAACAAAACCCTCCTTTAAATAATTGAAATTTATCTGATTAAATTTGCCTATTCTTTCCTTCTTCACAGGTGTTTAAAAAGGAGTGATAAACTTACATTTCAAGACCTTCAGGTAAAGGTTGGTCACCAACATCATGATTACCGCATGTCACCAAAACAGGAATGCTGGGATCTATTTTACTGAAGATCCTTTTGAAAGTAGCTTCTTGTGCCTTATAAAGATCTGGGTTTTCAGCTGTAATAACAAAGTAATATGTATAAAGATGTAATTTGAAACAGTAATGTCTGTCTGGTCGAAATCGCTAAGGCACTAGTGCCGAAGCGATCTCGAATCGAAGTTTCGCGGGTTCGAGTCCCGCCTCAGGCATGGTTCTATTGTGTTCGACCTTTCATCCTCTATCATCATATCGTGTCATCCTCACAGTTACCATACCGTTACAAGCAAAAGTGGTCGCTAATGACCTAGAAGTTGATGCGACCTTAAATAAAAATAAATAAATTAAAAAAGAAAAGCCTGTTTTTACTTGGTTCCACATCCTGCAAACAAGCCAGGGCCTACCAGCAGCATGGTTAGCACACAGACATCCCCAAGCTGTGTTCTGGTCTTCTGGACCTGAGAAGTGAATTTTCTCATTGTCACACAGCAACATATACTGGGACATTCTAAGGAAAATGCACACTATACTCTTGCCCAATTGGGAATCGAACCCAGGGTCACATCGTGGAAAGCAAGCATGCTGACTAATTCACTAAATCACGAGGGTGAAAGAGTAATGTAGTCATATAAAAAAGTATTTATTTGCAATTTTAATCTTTAATAGATTTCTGGATATCTATAAAACTTATATGATGGTCAGTGCTCAATAGTTTATTATACGAATATCATTCATTAACGTAAATTTAAATATTTTAAAGTTCCTTTAATAGTATTTTTTAAGTTCTTACTGTATTAATTATAACATATTTCATCTTTAGAGCACCAAAGAGGCTTAGGTCCCACAGTTTTTTTGAAGGAAAGTTTTGCTGCATACTTATGCCAGTGCAACTAATATTACTACTTATTCTTTCACCATTCTTCCATTTGAACCAATGAAATGAATATAAAGATAACTGTAAATTACACTCATGAAAGCCTGGAACCTTTCAAAACAACTAAGGTTTGTATGTGTACAGCAAGTAACTATTTTTCTTCATGAATATTATGGTATAGGAAAATCAAATTTAACATAAAATTAAGAACAAATAAGAAGAAAATCATTAATATTTTATTTCATAATTTTTCATTTTTGCATTATTCAACAAGAAAATAAATAAATCTAAAAATTCCAAAATTTGTTATAAAGTTAATCTATGACTGTGTGTTATTTCTATTTTATTTCCTACCTATAGAACATGTCAAATGAGTAAAAATTCCAAGATTAGTTTGCAGAAGTAATTTTCAGGTAAATTGACGTCCAAATAATCAATGATTTATTTTATGTCATTGTTTGAAGGAATCCCTCTTACATAAACAATACACCTTTTCAAAAACAAACCTTAAAGTGAAACATGATTCGCACATCAATTCAATTCACTATTAGCATTTTACTAAATGAAATCTTTGTTATATCTGTGAAACAAAATAAAATCACCCTGAAACATCTTAACCAATGCAATGGAATGGTTGAAAATCAATAGTGACATATTAATGGAATAATTAATGTGCACAGCTTCTATACAGTCATTCATGAAATCACAGGTAATCAAGAACAACTTAATTGTTTCCAAATAATTTTCAAAAGCAAACACTTTTCAACTTGTTCCAATAATGTCTAAATGTTTTTATCTTGTATTAATGTTAGTAGTTTTGTTACTGGATGAAATCAGCATTATATCATAAGTACATATATGATGCAATTACAATTGGTTTAAATTAAAAGGGAGGAAAATGGATTTTTTATTATTTTTTTTCTTTGCGTCCAAAAAATAGGTTTGTAATTATTAAATAATAACTTGGACAATTATTGCAAAATTTAAACAGCATATTGCACAGAATCAAGTACTTCAATGGATAATAAATAGGAACACAAAAAAATGTTTATTTTTCGAAAACCATATGCCTGTCAATAAACGCGTGCTCTCAGCGCACACACACACACACACACACACATACAAAGAGAAAACTTACTTGGAACAGCATCACACAAATCTCCACATATTACGAAGAACCTTGGTTTGGGGTTCAATGAGTTTATTTTCTCTACCACTTTTTCAGTCAGTTCAATTTCCTTATCCCAATTAGGTATTGGGTTTTTATTAATATATCTCTCAATTAAACCGTATTGTGGATCAGCCCCTTGAATGAAATACCATGGGGACTGCCATTCTTCTTCAACTTCTAGAAGATAAATAACATTACACAGTAATTATTTTAAGAGCCCAAAATACATTTGAATACATTAACTGACAATTGAATATCTGTCATATATTTTCTAAACATTTTAGCATTTGATACTATAAAATATTATTCACAGAACAATTTTACTTATTGTAAGAACATTTTATGAACATATAAAAGCAAAGGAAAACTTTGAGGAGAGACAATTAAATATTTTTTGTTTTTTTATTTCACAAACATAGTATTTATGTGAATTCTTTCTCACTATACACTGCCTTGTTTTTTTAAATGGTGCAAAATATTTACAAGTATAGACTTCATAATGATTTTGTTTCTGGTCCATCTTTTCTCTTGTAATATTAGTAGTGTGGTGCAGGTAAAAAAACTGGCACACAATATTATGTATAGCATTAATTCCAATAGAAACAATCTCTAGAATAATATAAGAGAAAATTTCACTTTTTAGCTAAATATTCCTAAAAAGTATGATTCCAATTTCCATCAAGGAGGAAAACTTATTTTATAAATGAAGAGTTAAAAAATTATGAAGATTGAAAGTAAACATAACGAAATAATACTTTTCTAACAGTAAAATAAAGTATCTACACACTATTAGAAGTATTAAATGCTGGTCCTACTCAATTTAAAATATCATAAAATTCCTATTCATGTTGATGTGTAAATAAAATTTTATGGGCACATAAAATTCTAAACATTGTTTTGCTGTTCTAAATACATGAACGTCAAAAATAATTATGTATTTTTGTGAATACAAAAAAATACTTTGGAATAAGATTTTACAATTGTTTACACTCTTACAAAATAATATCCCCTTGAAATGGGTTCCCATAAGTACATTTCCCAAAGAGCTGTAAAGAAAAATGTAAATATCCACAGATGTAATTTCTTATAACAGGTCAACAAACAAAGAGAGGAATTTTCTCAAAAAAACTTTACATTTCTTGAGGATACATTATTTTCACATTACTATCCTATTAAACTCACAAATATACAAACAAAACTTGCATAATAGACTTTAGAGGAAAATGAAATATGCGAGTTACCCTTCTTAAAAAAGTTTACATTATTGTTTTCTGTCCGAATCTTCCATTCGTTATTAGAAACATTAGGTTCTTGTCTGTGTAGCTCCGTCGCCTTATCTGAAACATTAACTTCCTTCATCATTATGTACATCAACTATTATTTTATCAATCAAAAGCAAATTTGCCGCACCATCACTCATTACAATTCGCTAAGTGTATACCACAGGTATATGAATACCGTCAGGTTCCACAGACTTACCACTCATGAGACTGGAAACCACAAACACGGAAAACACGAAACTTGAGATAACGATGCCTGTGGCAATTACATGCATACTTCTTTCTTTACATATCAACAACTGTCAAGATACTTGCCTAGGAATTAACCGAGCAAGATACTTATCAACACGTTTTTCTCCCTGTATAGTGTGTTTTCCTCGGTATACTTCAAGGTTACAAAGCGGATGAACAGGAAAACCAGCCAATAAAATTCAATAAACCTAGGCGGGAAATTTCAATGCATTTTTGGACCTGCAGGAATTTAGACATCCCTAAATCCTTGTTGTGTAACATTGTTTGAGTACGAACAACCGAATAAGAATCCATTAAAATCCAGTAAAATTATAATTGTAATGCATTATTTATGTTTCAACTACCTCTTTCGACAGATTTATCTGTATGACATTGCTTCATGTACAGCATACGTCTAGTTTCTGACCAGATACGTCTGTTTCTGACACACCTACGGGGAAAATAAAATGAAAATATCACAGTTCGATTAAGTGGTGTCTCCTTCAAAATTAACGCAAAAAATTCAAACTAAACAATATTACCAAGTGGTGCTTAATTTGTACATCAAAATAATTGCCATGACTACTAATTTAGTTGAATATGAAGCAAAGAAAAAACATTAAGACGAAATTTACAAACACATTCTTTCAAACCGTTCAAATATTAACATATTATATTCTTCATTAATGCACTTTTTTGCCTTCTTGCGTAGTACATACGTAGTATGGAGGAAGTTATGTAACGCTGCAGCGAAAAAAAGAGATTTTTCCGCAGAAAAATCTAACTTCCTTCAACAAGTCATTAGTGGATTCTTCGTAATACTAGTAGCAGCTCGTACTTAAGTTGCAAGGTTGCACATCAACCAAACAATCGTGAACAATTTATGTTTTTTAGGAATATATAGTCCATTTAATGACACTCAATAATCGAGATATTGCAATAATATTGATCTATGAAATAATTTTGAAATCGGCGTGGGCCAGACGAGCCCTCACTGGCCTCGAGTTGCAAGCCACGCCGCGAACCTGTGTTTGACGTCACGCTCTCACGGACTTACATTGTTGCGAAGCACGAGCTATTTCACTGACCGCGTGTCCATATATGCGTCAATATTACGAGCATTCGGTCAATTCCCGAGCGTTTTAGAACTGTAAGTATGCATAGAAACCCCACATCACGCGCCACAGGCTTACACCAAATATATTATCGTAGTGTGCTGAGGATCTCATTGTACGAATGCGCTTGAAGCACTTGCGGAAATACCAGTTTTCTATCTTCGTTCAGGTCAACGAGCTAGAATATACTACAGAATGTAGAACCCGGCTCCTTTTCACTTACATTATAAATAAACATAAGATTCGATTACAGTGAACAATAAACCTCAACTATAGTGAACGTAGAAAATACATACGTCCTGGAAATTAATGTCCTCCTTGGGGGTAAATAAATCGCCTCAGTGCCATAAATTCCAAAACTAGGCAGCTTGGAAAAAATATCGTCAGCCAAAGGTCAAAATCCAAGAAGTCTCCCCTGAGGTGGAGGTAGCGGGCCCGGAATGTTTCATTAGCCGCTTGCGCCATGCAGCTACCGCAAAGGATCTCGTACGTTATTAGGGGTGTATGGAGGTATTCTAACAGCGTAACAGGCATTGAAGAGTGTCAAGAATACATTACGATACTTAGAGTCATGGAAATGTAGAACCAAGTATGGAGAGAGCACGAACTCGAGGTTCCGGAGAAATTACTAATGATGTACGAAGCAAATCGTTGAAAATAATTGATTTGTTTAAGGTCAAATAAAGATGTTGAAATTTTTAGATGGCGCTTTTAATGTATTTTGCTCTATCTCTAAGTAAATAAAATTAATAATTGTGGAGAAATTCTATTAAATTTTGACATTGGATGTAATGAACCCAAAATGTTAGTCCCAAGAGGTTCACTATAACCGGAGTTGACTGTATTACTGTACATACACATCTTAATTTTAGTCACTTGCATGTTATTAAAAGAAGGTATACTTGTTCCCATTAGCATAACAACTTTTTGGGAATAGTACACTAGTCTTTGCAAGAATCATTGGTTTGATATGATTGATGGAGATAAATTTAGTTTGGAGAGTCCAATGAAATAATGCAGTCCATACCATGCCAAAAACAGTACTTATTTGAATACATAAACATCATATTATACATCTTAATAATTGGAATTTATTTAGAATGGAAGAAGTGTTGAAATACCTGAATAAGCAAAAACAGAGTATGTTTTTAAAAAATTTCTTAAAACTGAATGCATGAATAACAATTACACAACAAGATATGTTAATGTTAAAAGTCAGAAGACTTAAAATAACCCCTATGACTTCTTATTCTTACCTGAAGAAACCTAAAATAATAAGAACTGTGGGAAGGTACAATAATTTTATATGTATTCAGAAGCGTTTTTATGATTTTGCCACTCTTAAGCAGATTAATGTTTGATATTTTCAGAAGTTATTTAAAAAAAATATCTTTTGTACGTTATGTTCTTAAATTAATCAATGACACATTAAATAATTGCAAACATTTTATTTCCACAACTTTGAAGAACATCAAAGAAAAAATTTCCTTCTGCAAAAATCTGCTGCAACACGCATGGCAAACTTTACATGTGCATAAAATCGCCTCTGCAGCCATTTTAAAGAAAATTCACACTACTTTCAAATTCTTTCAATTTATTGGTATATACACTTAAATGTATATGGACACAGAACACTTCCGGGTCAAACTTTTAATGAATATCCTGCAGTGTGGCACATCGTAGTTTCACATACACTTCAACCTGCTTCAATGATAAGAAAACAAACTTTATTTTATACACAGTATTTTACATTTTCTAAAAATATTAATCATATTCAATCATCTAATTAATTTAATTACAAGAGGAAAGTGATCCCAATGTGAAATTACATTTGAAAAAAATGTCTTAGAAAAACCAAACCCTCTCTTTCAAAATACCACAAATATTATTTTATATCAATACTAATTACAAAATGTATTTTGTTATCAATGTCAATTTTATTTTACTTTCAATAGCAACTACTGAACCTCAAGGCACTATCCCGCAACTATCAAAAGAGAATAATTTGCAGTGAAGTGGATTTGACCTGATAATATTGCCACAACAGGATGGACTGTAAACTTCATAAATAGAATGAGTTTAAAATGTAAATATTGTGGTCAAGAACTATCAAGTCAAGTATAGAAAAATCAGACTAGTAAATATTTCCTAACAACTTTTCAAAGTTATTTGTCATGAAACATTATTCTCTTATTCTTTTAAAAAACACCAAAATTCAAACCGTGAAAACAAAGTTATTTTTTCAGGAAGCCATAAGTACACAGCTTATACCTTTGTCCCTTCTGGTCCCACAATTCAGTTACATCACCGGATGCAGTAGTGTGACAAACACACTTCATTATTACACATTTTCATAAGTAACATATTTTAGGTAACATTTGGCAGAAATTTGAAGCACAAAAGGTCTTAAATAATAAAATTCAATTTATACTGAGCTGTCATTGTGAAAGACATTATTCACACATACACAATGTGCTTCAGAATTCTGAAATCAATGCAATAACAAATTATTATAATCAATAATACCTACTTTTAAGCAATTACATTACTTCCAATCGGTAATTATCAACAAAAATCTTTCTATCAGTAGCAGTTCAATTGAGTAAAGTCCATACATAAAAGAACCAACAACAAGAAAAATCCCTCCTTCAACAGCATTATTCTAATGAAAATTCTCACACACTACTTACAATCACAAGTCAAATGTCATCTTCCCACCTAAATATTATTTTATGGTATTACACTGACAAATATAACCTTGGAATAATTTACAATGATTAGTCACAAATGAAAAAAGTAAACAAATAACTAAACTGTCAAGTTGTAATTACATTACAGTTACAGATTAAAAACATTACTTTGTGTATGTTCTCAATTGCACAAATGATGGAAAGACTATTTTAGCTGATCCACAGAATGGAATGGCATAAGTTACAAACAGGTGAACTTGGTTCTACACCTTCTACTGTTCCAGTGACTAACTTCAGAGAATGACAGCTGTGTTCACACTTTCAGGCTTCTTAATAAGATCCACGCAGTGCCACACTCCAGGAGACTAACGCGTAAAGCAATTGCCAAGCACTGCAAACTGCCACCACTCCAAGCATGTCACCCAAACTCATTCTTAGATAAACTGACCGCATTTCTGGAAACCGTCAACATAATCACAGATACGTTTACACACTGAAGCGTTACCTTCAGCAACTGAGACAAGAATATGAATATCAAGATAACTTGCCTTTCAATGCATACCTCAAACCCACACACGCACACAAACTCTATTCTATCACACGAAAATACCCAATGGCTTGACAAATATTAGAACTGTATTATAAATATAGATTTTTTCGCTTTTTATACCTACTTCATTTAGATGGTTGCTTAATGATGTATCACATATTTAAGTAACATATATACAAAATGGCAAGGACATTGCCCAAGTGGTACTCCAGCAAGGAGTGCTATTAACTTTACTTCTATATATACACTAGCAATTTGCATTGGTTTTATACTAATGTCATTAATGACAGAATAAGGTGATTCCTTCCCTGACAATTGTTTGCCTCCCACTGCACATAACTTCTTCAGAACACAATGGGCAAATACATCTCAAATTAGAGAACTGAACACCAACAATGGTGCCTTAGTATGTGATGATCATTTCATGAGAACTAATAACTTTCATGGCAAGTCAATCAATTTACTGAAGTTTGATCAATATAGTGACCAAGCAGAGCAAATTCATTAGATAACAGCACATTCAGTTAAAAATTATCTGAAATCTAAAGTTCTGAAAGCAAAAAATGTTATGATTTCCCAAGAAACTGACCATTCACAATTAAACTGCTGAACACAGGCCAGAGTAAATCTGCCATTCTCCAGATAGCAGCGAGAGCCCGTCAACACAATAAGGAAGTAGCGCTGTGCTCAATTGAACCTACTTAAAAGACAAAGTTTCAAAACAGGAAATAAAATAAATATTATCAAAAAATTGTGATGCAGACAATAGAAGTTTTCTTTAACATTGCATTAGCACGTAGAAACTTCAATGAATACAAGTCTTAGTGTTGGATTCGTTTTTTCTACTTCGGTAATTTGTTATAAAATTTCTTTTATACCGATGAACAAACATGTGATGTGTCCATTCAAATTTAATTTTTTCGTATTTTTCAATTGTACTTGAAACAAAAAATATCTACAACTCCCTCCATTCAAAACACAAGAAAATAGCATTCTTATGTTGAGAACAAGCATTTTCACAGCACCTGCTTTACATTCATTAGTTAATTATGAAACGTTTATCACGTGAAGAATGTAAATAG